TAGAATTGTCTTTTAGGCCTCAGCCTCGAACTTAGCGGGCAGCGGGGCGGGAGCGGCGGCGCGGCGCTGGAGCGGGGCGGGCAACGCAGACCCGTTCTCGAAACAAGCGGGCAGCTCGCGCGGCGCTTTAGCGGCGAAGTGTTGTGTTCGGGGTTGTGTTGTCGAGATATTTGTTTTTATTCGCAAACGAAATGTCTGAACAACGGCGACAATTTTATTTCGATTCAAATTTATTCCTAACGCTCAATTTATTGTGGGCAAAAGAAGGAGTGCGCTGCCCGCTCGTTGCCCGCTCCCTCGCCGCTGCCCGCTCGTTGCCCGCTCCGGCGCCGCTGCCGCGCCGCTGTTTTCGAGAACCGGTCTATTTGATTTTACGCATAAGATCCTGCCGCTCCCGCGCCGCCGCCGCCGCCGCCCCGCTGCCCGCTAAGTTCGAGGCTGAGGCCTTATAATTTTGCGTAGGCGGCCACAATCAGTCAATCACCGCCCTGTATACAAGTGAATTAAAATAATTCCTATTGTTCAAAGCATTATTATAAGCTTGTATAATTGTGTATTACATACAGAGCTGGGCACCGTTAATCAAATAGTTAACTTCGTTAATCGTTAAACCGTTAATAAAAAAATTAACTTCGTTAAACGTTAATACGTTACATTTAGCAAGATTTAACGCAAGTTAACGTTAATCGTTAATCCGTTAACACATTAAAATAAAACGAAAAAAATAATGGTATGCAAGGTTCAAGTAATTTCGAAAGATTGTATCTCGCATGGAATTTATTCCTCTTTTTAGCCAGACAGTTTTGACAGTTCCAACTCCTTGCCAGACAGTTTTTAGGGTTCCGTAGTCTTGACCAGGAATCCTTATAGTTTCGATATGTCTGTCTGTCCGAGGTTTTGCTTGGAAACTATTGGCACAAGAGAGCTGTAAGTTTGTGGAGGTATGTATATTGATCACGCCGGCAAAACGGTAGAATAACATTTTGAAAAAAATAAAAATTTTAGGGTAGCTCCCGTACATGTAAAGTGGGGATAAATTTTTTTTTCATACTCTAACCCATCGTGTGGGGTATCGTTGGATAGGTCTTTTAAAATAGTTTAGGGATTTCTAAGACCATTTTTCTATTTTAAGGGATCCGTTTGCAAAATGTTAAAGTTTAAAGTGCCAATTTTTGTCTAAAAAAACTAAACTGTTGGCTTAAAAAATCTGGAAAAATTCATCATAATAGCGCTTTTTATGAACTTTCAAGGAAAACTATAGCGGTTAAAATACACCAGTTAGTTCAAGAGTAATAGTCGTTTTACTCATGTATTATAAAATTTCATACCTAATAAAAATTCCTTAGAAGAAAATATTACAAGTGACTTTAGTAATCGCTTACTTCTGAAATACATATATATTGTGGTAACGACGGACAACTACGGAACCCTACACTGCACGTGCCACGTGGATAGCTGCCAAAGCCACGATGACCCAAACTTCATAATCCACCAACATTCTAACCTATATTGGGAGCATACGCTGACAACTTTCAGCTTTTATAAAATGACGTTGGTCTGGCGTTCACCAGCTCTTAGTCTATAGTATCTCAATATCAGAGCCTTGGTTNTTGACTTTAGCGGCAAAAACGGCCTATGTTTATTACTTAATATCTTCGTAAGTAATGGTCCGATTTGGATAATTCAAAAAGATATATCTTTCTTATGTCTTAAAGATTTACGTAGATACTAGTTTTAATGAATTTTCTACAACAGTACTGATCCTCATTACAATACAATTTAGCACCAATGTGCTCGATAAGACAAATCCAACAAACCCAAAGTCGATAAGTTTCCACCGATTCATTTAGGAGTTCCTATGGCCGCCTCCTGATTCTCATCATTAGACCAGCTCAATGTTACCACAACATTGAATTTTCATCGTACTTACATAAGTAGGTATACAAAATTGCAGCTCAATCGGTTGAGGAGAACTGGTCTTAAATTCAGTTGCAAGATATGTTACGGTTAATGTGATAAATTGAAAATTATTAATAATAACCGGTTATTATGAATAATTCCCGACAGTCGCGGTGAAAGTGATAAATTAATCACATTTAACAGTGATTATTTAATAATTCAACCTTAGTACTAACAAAGGACAATGGGCAAAATGGTACCCGGCTCCAATAGATATGCTTCTAGTGTCATTAGAAAGGTCTTACCAAGACGAACAACTTTTACTATGACCACCAGCCTCAGATCTGGTTGTGTTCGTAGATAAACATACTTTTTTGCAGAATAGTACCCGGCTCCAATAGTTAGTTTGTATTGTCATTTGAAAGGTCTTACCAAGACGAACAACATTTACTAAAGCCACCAGCCTCAGATCTGGTTGCGTTCGAAGATAAACATACTTTTTGTGTAGTCGAGGTATCACACGTGTCCATCGTATGGTACCTGGTCTACTTAGGTTATGCGAGGCATGAAGGGTTTACTGCTCCAGCATCCTTCCTTAACTCTATAATTTTATTTATAGGGATAATTGTGAAATAAATATTTTTATTTGAAGAACTACTACCCCTTACTAATAAAAAGTTATACCTAGGATGAACCATGGATTAAAATGACATTTCCATACCAAATGACAATTTAAGTCAGAGTTCAACTAGGGTGTAACTTAATTTTATTAATAAAGGGGTTAGAATTTTATTACTTCTTAAGGATTTTATTATGGGTTGCTAAGGTGAATAAACCCACAAGACCCAATAAGTCCACCCACAAGATGGACCGACGACCTCATAAAGGTAACGGGAATACGCTGGATGCAGGCTGCAACCAACCGGCCATTGTGGAAATCATTGAGGGAGGCCTATGTTCAACTGGATGTGCTATGGCTAAAATGATCATGATGATGATGATGAAAGAGAATCAAGGGCTAATAGCTTGGGTAGTTCGTCGTAGGTATAATCCTTTCCTTTTCAATGCTTCTTTTAGTTATATTAATAGATTGTAGTCATAGTACATACTCGTATACATGGATGATTGTGTTATATTTTCTTATAATACTTAGTGGAATTACTGCTTTCAAAACGTGAATTAGAACTGGCCCCATAGCAGATATTTTCCTACATCTAAAGGCCTTTTGAAATATATATTGGTTATGGCTATTGGAGCGGGTACCACTTTCCATACATTTGTGCCCATCATCCTTTCATAAAAGAGAACAACATCTTGACTACGTGCTCGTGTACAGCCAAACTTTTGAACGTTTTGATATCATATATTAATATAATTTGGCATAATGAGTTTGGAATGTTTCTTGCATAATATTACTTTTCCATGATGCCTATAACATAATGTTTTGATTTAAAGTGAAAAATAGGTTAAGGTGCGGCGGGGGTGGCCCTTGGGCCACCCGTAAGCCGCCTATTTAGTTTTATACACACATAAATGACCTCATATTAATCACATTTACCAAATCATGCGGTAATTATTCATAATAACCGGCGATTATTCATAATTTTCACATTTATCACTTTGACCGTAACACATATACTATATTATTATAAAAGAGTAAGTACTTAATTATTATTGTTCTGTGATATAAGCTTGTAAATAAATAAAAAAATAGCATTTTTATATCGTTTCTTTCTGGTTACAAAAAATGTTGTTTTGGGTTCTGGAAGTTCTGGAAGCCCGAACGTACTTGTCAGAACGCTTTTTTCTAGTGTTTTTCAGCATGCCTGCTTTATCTTTTTGGTAAATAGTAGGTACTCGATTAACGATTAACGGACTTAGGATAATTTAACGGAAGTNACTTTTAAAAAATGGAAATTGTGAAAAATAACGCATAAAATCCATACGCTCATACGATTCAATGGCACGCAGAGACGCGATTGGGGTCTCCGCGGTGGTATATTTGGCGATTTATTCAAATAAAGTGTACATAAGTGTTGTTAGAGTCATATCTTCTTCCAAGTAAAATATAAACATGTATAAGTATTAATTTATTTACTTCTAACAATAAGGTATAACTTCTAACAATATGACATTGCTATGAAAATCATATCGATGTACACTTAATAGTCTTAATACCTACCTGTTATTTAGTTTTTCTGAGTTAAACACACGCACCTACCTATCTATTCGCCGTTCCCATGGGCGGGCCAGCTGCTGCAGGAAGGACAGCCGCTCCGTGCTTAATCTTAGCCTAGAAGCACAGAATAAGTAATAGTACAGGTACAGAAGGATTACTCCGCAAGACGATTTAAATAAATGCGAGTCTTGCTACGACGCGATACAGTGGAATTCAGCTCGCACAGCACTATNGATTACATATTACACATTGAGAACAAGTCCCTTGCCCTCAACGTTTGTCTCATGGTAACACAGACCCCGACAAAGGAACAGGTAGTTTCTATGCATTATAACAATGTCAATGGTCAGTCACTATAATATTGGTTTACTTAATAATGGCATAATACAGATGGGAAATCTTACGAATGCGCTTTTAAATAAATTTGTACACGTGCTCCTTTAATAATTTGGAGGGCAAAGACGTGTATGTATTCAATGTTGTAAAATAAATGTAGCTCAATACGAGTATGTTACACAATAGTAATAATGGTATAATTGAGGGCATACAAGTCAATCACCATAAATCATCGGGTAGTTGACATTAGTGGTTGTTTAGACGAGGAGTTACGGATTGAGAAGAACAAAAGGAACTGAGAGATTAGGGAACGAATTTGACTAAACTAAACATTTTTTTAAACTAAACTTAAAGTAGATAGGCGAAGATAAAAGATTTCAACTAAATGTTCAACGGTTCGAATAATCTTACACCATTTTGAAAAATAAGTGGGATATCAATAAGTAAGTTTTTATATGTAAGACAAGGCAGGTATTTGACTGCAATCGCACTTGGTGTTAAGTGAGATGCAATCTAGGATGGTACATATCTGCCTTGTAAGTGCCTATTCACTCTCGCCTTAAAAAGTTTTAAAATAAAACCATAAGATTACTGCAAGCTTGCTTATGCACATTTATTTGCATTTTTCAATAAATATTTGGCGTGTTCATGAGGTAAAGGTTACACAGTCAGACTTCAGCGAACGTAGTACGAGTAAGGTGAAGCGTAAGTATACGCAGAGTAGGCATACGGCGAGTACGCAGAGTACGCAACAGGCGCGGTGTACGCTGCGGTGTATGCGGCGGCCACTGGCGCGGTATACGCAGCGGCAACCGGATATTCCACTACTAGGGGCTTGGCGGCGGCGAAAGCCAGGAGAGCGGCGAACAGTACCTGGGGAAGAACAGACAAAAATTAATATTTTACATTGAAATTGTTTATTATTATGGTAACAATGGTCATAACAGGTCATAACATAAATGTATGCAATAGGCATAATATTATGTAATAAATAATGAATTTTTGAGTAAATTAGAATTTTTTTTTTGGAAATGAAAATCCATCCAGTAGTGTTGATTAGCTATCAAACTTGTCTATAAATAATGAAATCTATCTCTATGATTTACTATAGTATGCACTTTAATTAAACACAAAACACTCACGTATTTGAACATTTTGGTGTTTGTTTTGTTTGTTTGTGTTATCACAAGCGTCTGAGCTCGAATGTAGTCCGTCAAGCGTGTTCTCTTTTTATACTATTGACATGTTGACATTAGTGCCATTGCCGTACCTGATATGGTCCGTCAACCGGATAACAAGCCAAATATCCTCCTGCAAGTCGTTAGGTATGATCATCACGCGCGGCCTTGTCCGGGACCACTAGATCAAGGACGAATTCATTTCTTCTTTTTATAGACATAAACATTGTTAATGGTCCGCAGAATGGGATATCATATCTTCAAAATCCTGATCAGTATCAGACCGCATTCTTTAGAAAACATTTGTAATAAAACCATTTTTTGCGTTTGAAATTACCGCATATTGCGAAAACGAGTCTTGGCATTCATATTTCATTGAAAGAGGACTCTGCTAACTTTGTAGCATTTGAAAAATATAAGAACATAATATTCCCAACTTTCATCTTTAGGAAATATGTTAATGATATTGATTAGGTAGTTTACTGTAGGTACGGTTTTTGTCCTATCCCTTACAGTTACAATACACTCGTTGTAAACGTGGGTAATACCTTAGAACAATCTGAAGTTAAACAAAACAAACGATTTGGATCTCTTTATTATTGCCAGCATTTCGTTCGGGTTTATCCTCGCACTATGATCCCTCGGGAGCTTCTGGGAATGAGCTTTTTGACGATGATGATAGGCCGGCGGCGCACATGCACGTGTCTGGACGTCTCAGCAGCCACAGTGGCCATGGCCACCATGAAAATTAGTAGCCACTGTAAATAATTAAAAAGTTTTTAAAACATACAAAATAACACCTGAATGTCTCCAGCATCCTCATTGGCCCTAGAGCAATTCCAAGTATACCATCAATAAAAGCCTAATTAGAGTCATCAATCCTCTCAGTCATTCAATTAGAGCCATTAGAACTTCATAACTATGAGTTGTTTTCTGTGTGTAAGCTGAGGACACGTGTCCCCAGCTGACACATCTGTATCTTCGTAAATATTTATGCTACGATAATGTATTATACCTCAAAAATTACAGTCGAATCCAAATAGTAGGCTTTCCAATTTTCAAGACTTTAGCTCAAATACTGTTAAAACCACGATCAAAAAACTATGTGCGAGCTGGAGTACCGTGTCTCCAGCTTACACATCTGTATCTTCGTAAATATTTAAGCTACATCAATGTTTTATATCTCATAAATTAAAGTCGAATAAAAAAACCCGACTTCAAATCTTTCAAAGCTTTATCTCGAACCGTTTTCGAACTACGAACCGATATGTATGTGTAAGCTGGTGACACGTAACACACGGTGGATTATTAAAACCGTATAAGTTAGAGTTGCGTTTTAAAGATCAAATAATTCGTTATAATTAAAGTACACACGAGACATAATTTCAAATCTCTAGGCCTCTTAGTTTCAGAATTAAAAGCCAAAAACTATTTTCCCGCCAAATAATTCAAATAATATGGGTCGACTGCGACGTTGCCGTTCCGTGCCTTCGAGTGTAGAGTCTCCAACCTTCAAAGGAGTGGGTGCGACACGGTTATTAGACATGATTTTTGTCTTGTCCATGTTCATTTTGAGACCCACTTGTTGAGAGGCTCTACTGAGGCCATCGAGCATTGTGCCTAGATCTTCCAAGGTTTCAGCCATGACTACGATATCGTCCGCGAATCGAAGGTGGGTGATGTACTCACCGTTGATTGACCAAGTGGCAGTGGGCGGGGCACATAGCTCGTAGAGACGATGGCCGTTGGGGCAGAAAAGTTCTCGAGTGGCGACCACGGGCTGGAAGACGTAGCGTGGGCAGGCCTCCTACTAGGTGGACCGACGATCTCGTAAAGGTCGCGGGAAGAGCCTGGATGCGGGCAGCGCAGGACCGTGCATTGTGGAAAACCTTGGAGGAGGCCTTTGTCCAGCAGTGGACGTCATTTGGCTGAAACGAACGAACGAACGAAGATGTGTAAGCTGGAGACACGGTACTCCAGCTCGCACATAGTTTTTTGATCGTGGTTTTAACAGTATTTGAGCTAAAGTCTTGAAAATTGGAAAGCCTACTATTTGGATTCGACTGTAATTTTTGAGGTATAATACAATACATTATCGTAGCATAAATATTTACGAAAATACAGATGTGTCAGCTGGGGACACGTGTCCTCAGCTTACACACAGAAAACAACTCATAGCTATGAAGTTCTAATGGCTCTAATTGAATGACTGAGAGGTTTGATGACTCTAATTAGGCTTTTATTGATGGTATACTTGGAATTGCTCTAGGGCCAATGAGGATGCTGGAGACATTCAGGTAAAATAACGATTAACCGATTGAGTCCCAGACGGCATTAATTAATGTCATAACAATTGATTATTTATCTATTGTGTCTAGATTCGCGGAGCTTGAAGGATTAATAAACAACTAGGGTTGGGCTCTCAGGTGGAGCAAAAATTTTAAAAAGATTTTTTACATAATATCCTAAGGAGATTTTCATCCTAAATTATTGGCAATAAATCGTAAATAAATGAAAAGTAGTATTTTTTTAAATTTAGCTTTCATAAATTTATTAATCACCTGTAATACTCGTATGTGAATTAACTTCTATTAAAATGTCGCGTGTAATTTAATTACACGCAATTTGTGAATAAATGAAAGAAAAGACAGTTTATTTAATAAACACTATCAAGAAAATCATGACTAGGCAAAAATTATTATTTTCAAATACTCACGGCTTTAAAATGCATCTTGCCAATCGATGGTTATTAAAACAGTTCCCAAGTGGGTCATGTTACATTTATATACCATAACCGTGATACATCCCACGTGATTAAAAACTAAAGCCCGTGTCGCCCTTATCCACCGTTTTGCTATTAATTAATCGGCAACCATATTCATAGTGGTCACGTGTTAATCGGTATCACACTTGATTATAACATGACGCGCTGTTAAATTAGTTTGTGATCTGGAGTAACCAAAGCACATGACTTTTAGTTAGAACATACTCATACTTAGCAAAATAAGTAAATAATCATTGTTTCTTCAGTAGACAATTTTTTTTTTCAATAATTACATAGGTTGAAATTAATCAGTTTGAACTATGGAGATATCGTCTATGAATTCGAGTAAAACCGCTCGTAATGATCACATTAATACCTATTTGTCACCGGCGGAAATTGAACCCGCAACTGCAGCTTGAACTCGCGCTGGAATCGAACTTTACAAATGTACCAAGGTGATTTTAAGAATAGTAAAACGTATACGTAACTACTTACTAAATATGATTTTAAAAATAATAGCTTGTTAGCCTAAATAAACATCGAAGAAGTTTTTTTTGTGTTCGCTTCCATTATAGTAAAAGTTGTTCATATTTAAGTGTAGATAAATACTCTAGTGAAGTAAGTTCCTCATTGAACCAGTCCTTAACATTTTAAGATTATCTCGTTTACTTCATAATTTATTCAGTTGTTAGTATTTTCTAGCAATGTTGTTCGATTTTAATTAATACTTGCTATCACAACTCTCGGAGGACTGGTTCGTCCGACAAAATAATTGTTTATTATTCAAAGCAGGGCTCGCAAGGCTGTCTCCTCAATGCAATCGTTATACAAAGGTAAACGTATAAAATAAACGCGATTCCAGAACAGAGCATCACATTATCACTTGCATTTGGCGAGCCAACTTGTTCTCAAACCAAACACAAAACCAACCCCAACAAAATGTTCAAGCTGGTGAGTTAAGAAATAATAAAATAACAGTATTTTTTTCAACGTTGTAAAGCTTGCAATATTTAAATTACTATTGTAAAATCATATTATTATGTTTGATAAAGTACCTACCTACAAGAATTACATAAACGCCTAGCGCATAATTGTTTGACTCAATATCTATTTCGATCACTTTCATTAGGATAAGCTGCACTGTACATTCATCACTGGCTAATAAAGACATTCGGTAAACTAATTTGTGCCGCAGCAATTGATGATATAAATTAAAGTAATTGCTATAGAGCTAAGTTACATACTTAATGTATTATTTTGAGCATAAATTAACTCTTATTTTTTACAGTTCATCTTCGCCTGCTTCCTGGCCTTCGCCGCCGCCAAACCCGGCATTGTAGCCCCCGTGGCGTACACCGCGGCGTACACCGCGCCCGTTGCTGCGGCGTACACCGCGCCCGTCGCCGCCGCGTACACCGCGCCTGTCGCCTACTCCGCCTACTCTGCCTACCCCGCCTACTCAGCCTACACTTATGCTTCCCCTTACTCCTACTACCTTCGTCGCTGATTTCAACCCGCACCTGATAAACAGTGTACACAAATTCTTGAAATTATTAATGTATTTAGTGATATATGATGAAGTCATTAACTTATGTATAACATAATAATTTTGACAATTTGTGTATTGTTAATACTGTAAATATGACGACAATAGAAAAATAAAACAAGTTTTTACAGTTTAAAAATGTTTTTTACTCTATGGTAAACTCTTAATCCCTCATAGAAGTTAAACAGTATTATAGTCAGTTAGTTTTCTACTGATATGTTTATACTGTATGTAGTGTCTAACATTAACGTCAGAAGCCTAATAACGGAGTCTAAATATTAGGCTTTTTTAATTAAAAAGAACTAGCTAGCTAGCTATGTACCCTGATTGTTGAATTATTTGGTTTAGCTGTAATAAATGTACTCTATCTATCTAATCTGTAAGCATTACTATAGATCAAAATCAAAAAAACAATTTAAAAAAAATGTATTCGTTAACAAACCAATTCTTTATAAAAATTGTAGTGACATATATCTACTAGTAAGTAAAAATACAGTGTGTCCGGGCATGTAGTGATCAAACTTTAAGGGCGTGATCTATAGACAATTTTATCGATGAAAATACTTCAAATTTGGGGCTTGCCCATTTCTCACAAAATTACGAGGATTTAAGTTTTTAATTTTTAGTTTTCACCTCTTTCTTAAAAAAACAAGTGAAAACGTGGGTAATTTAACATAAATAAGCAAATATTTTATATCATGCGATAACCAGTAAAATTATCCATTAGTAGAAGTAGAAAACAGACACAAGTTTCATACATTTTAAGAGAGTAAGAATGGATTTAATTAGAAAAAAACATGACTTTTTTCACTTCTTTTTCAGTTATTTTCCAACACAAGAAAAACCAGGTCGTTAAGGTATGTTTTATTTGCATTGTATTATTAGTATTTGAGCTATTCTATAAAACGAATGTAAATTTATTAGTCTACGTCAATTAGTTTCGACGTAATTGACGAAACGTTAAAAATCTGTCAAACTCCATACAAAAATCATCGGTTATCGTTAATAGTTACGTTCAAAGTTTGGTGGTGCAACTCAGCCTTAGAGTTCCACGGGCTGGGAAAAACTAATTCAATACTTAATTGAAAATCAAAAGACCAGAGTGAGAATAATCATTGTGAACGAGAATGCAACCCTTTAATGGCTAAAACATGATCATTATAGAGTTGATTAAATATTTACAAAAATTCAGCATAATAGCAAATAAGCGAGTAAATAGGTATGCCAAATCTATAATATTAAAATACGCCTGAACCAATATTACCCATTCTTTTTTTTTAATGTTCGTTGAAGAAAAATTCGAATAATTTCCGGGAAACCCTAAAAACAGCCCTTTTTTCACGCAGGCGAAGCCGCGGGCGGAAAGCTAGTAAAATACAACGTGCTCTTTTTGATTTCCTGGAACTCTAGGGTATTAACCCACTTGTTACTAGCGTTCTTTTAAAAGAACGCTAGTTTTTACATAAATATTTTTACTAATGTGGGTAGTGTAAACAATTTATATATGCAACATTTGAAAGATGAGGTGTGTCGCAGTACTGTCCAAGTCTTATAAGTACACTGACGTAAATAACTATAAAGTTTTGGAGCGATTGTTTTGAGATAAATTTATCATGACTGATTTAAGGTAAGTGATAGAAAAAGTGAATTCCGTAACAAGTGGGTTAATAAGACCACTTCAAAGAACGGAATGGCATTAATTTTTTTGTTGAATTCAACAATTTTTTTCGACTTATTTTTTCATACCAAATTATTTAAAAACTTAATTTTTCACTAAAATAATTCATAATTTACATTCACTTATCTATTTAATAAAAAGTCTGCACAAAAAGACTAGGTGACAATTTTGAAAAAAAAAACTAGATTGATGATACTATAATCTAAATGAACTAGGTATCTTCTAAATCTAGAATCCACAATATCTTCAAAAATATGTTTTTAGAAACACATATTCCTAAGACTCTTTAACTAGTTTTTATTTATAGAATATACATACCCCTAAAATTCCCGGAAAACAAAAGGAGCACTTTGTATAAAAAAATCTAGCTTAAAATATCATCCTACTATCCTACTAATAATTAAATGCGAAAGTTTGTATGGATATCTGGATGTTTGTTACTCTTTCAAGTACTGAACGGATTTTGATGAAAATTATCAGTACTTATTGGCTATTTCTNATTATTATTTATAACCCAGAATAACGTATAGGCTAAAATTTATGACGATCTGTGACAAACTAAATTTCACGCGGGTGATGCCGCGGACAAAAGCTAGTATTAGGTATGTATGATAAAATGTCCTTTCATTACAAAATTTTGCTTTGTTTTCTTTACATAATCGATTACAGAATCAGAATCTGTTTCAAATCGAATTAATTTTTTTGAAATCAGGATTAATAAAAGAGTTTGATTAAACTCATTGGGCAGCGGAAGAAAACATACTTTTAAAACTTTAACGAATGTCTTTTATTTTGTTCATTGTCGTATTTCTATTAGTATTCTTATTCATTGGGTCGAAATCAGTAGTGTAGATTTGCATTATTATTTGTTTTCATTCAGGAGATATTCAGGTTAAGGTGATGGAGGAGATGTTCAGCGGCGCAGGTAGTAGGCAGCGTAGGGAGAAGCGTAAGTGTAGGCTGAGTAGGCGGGGTAGGCAGAGTAGGCGGAGTAGGCGACAGGCGCGGTGTACGCGGCGGCGACGGGCGCGGTGTACGCAGCGGCAACGGGCGCGGTGTACGCCGCGGTGTACGCCACGGGGGCTACAATGCCGGGCTTGGCGGCGGCGAAGGCCAGGAAGCAGGCGAAGATGAACTGTAAAAACATAACATTTTAATCTTATGTGTCATGAATTGACCACTATTTATTAATTGCACTTCGAGATAAGATCATAAACTTACCAGTTTGAACATTTTTTTTTAGGTTAGGTTAGGTTTTCTGAAATGGTTGTTAACTCGCTTAAAGCAAGAGATAGTGTGATACTCTGTTCTTGAATTGTATTGATTTTATACGTTTACCTTTGTATCCGATAGCAATGAAGAAAGAGCCTTGTCAGCCCTGCTTTGAATATCAAACAGTTTTTTTTTTGTTGAACAAGACTCCTCGACCGGATAATATTAAGATAGGTAGGTGTTTTACCAATAACTATAATCTGTCGCCATAACGATAATGTTATGTTTATTTCAACAGCACACAAATTGTGTTTCGGCAGGAAAGCCAGTTCCGCTATGGTTGAGAATTTTGGGTTTCAAGTAACTGGCTTCTACGAGTACCTTCGGCCTCATTATTAGTTAATGAGATAAGGCTCAAGAACTATCACGTTGTGATTAAAAATGATAACTACCTACGTCGCGTAGGATGCCATACAAACCAGAAATCACTTTTGTCTTAAAATAAACAATACTTTAATATTATCAATTATAACCAATACTTATAGAATGTATAATTTTCTAAAACGTATTTCGAAAACATATTATCTTCTAAGGTCTAAGAAAGCTCTCTTTTAAAGTATCTGCGAACAGACTAATTGATAAGATCATAAGATCCATCCTGTATATCATTATGTCAAAGGTCAAATAATCGATTGCTGTAATCTAATTAACCTTTAATCGAGAAATTGATGTTTTTGATTAATGCTATCACACCTTTCGAGGACTAATGTACGAACAGAATCCTTCTGCTTAGTATTCAGAGCAGGACTGGCAAGGCTATTTCTTCATTGCTATCGTCCGATACAAAGGTAAACGTATAAAATCGACACAATTCCAGGACAGAGCATCACATTATCTCTTGCATTACGCGAGTTAACTTCTATTTTGAAAACCCACCTAACCAACCAAAACAAAATGTTCAAACTGGTGAGTAAATATTACATGAAATTAAACAATTGAAACAGAAAAACTTTAGTGAAAGATTTTATTTGACTCCATAGCGTCATTCATTTATTAAAAATAGCATTATAATGTTTAGAAAAATCTTAATGTTTAGAAAAATCTTAATCAACTAATTTCCACGATTTAAGTATGTCTTAAATTCAACCTGTAAGATGAGATGAGATGTTCAAGTAAAAAAGCTTATATAAATCAAATCAAAGAACGAATAAAAAAGAAGCTTTGGCTTAACATAATAAAAAATGGTAGTCACTAAATAAAATGTTGGCATGATTGCAAAGAATGAATGGACGTTATCATTGTTACACTTTTTAAATATTCACTTTTTTAAAGTTCATCTTCGCCTGCTTCCTGGCCTTCGCCGCCGCCAAGCCCGGCATTGTAGCCCCCGTGGCGTACACCGCGGCGTACACCGCGCCCGTTGCCGCTGCGTACACCGCGCCCGTCGCCGCCGCGTACACCGCGCCTGTCGCCTACTCCGCCTACTCTGCCTACCCCGCCTACTCAGCCTACACTTACGCTTCTCCTTACGCTGCCTACTACCTGCGTCGCTGAAATTAACCTGAACCTGAATATTTGACCTGAATACGGACAAGCAAATCAATCGTCAAAAGTTAAAAAAAAACATTGCTACAAAAGTTACAAAATAATGAACTATAGATATTGAAATTGTTAATACCTACATTTTATTTGTTAAAAAATATTATGCAGTACAGAAAGCTTTAAATTGTAATTGTCCAAAGAAAAAAAAAGTTCACCTATGTACCTACATTTGACGACGATAAACGAAATAAAATTATGGTTGAATGTTAATATTTATTTTTATTTTCCCATCATCGACTTTATTTTAGCAAGTTATACCGAGAACTCTACTTATTTACAGTAACATGAAAAGGAAAATCGTCAAATTATTTTCTTAATACACAATCAATTTGTTAGCGTCATCTCGTATCATCATCTAGCGGTAAAATTCTTCTAACCCATTCACTACGAGTATTCGGCACTAGTGCATAAAAGCTATGCTTTGGGTAGTCACCTGAAATGTAACTTGTAAAAATATGTTAGGTATACAGGGTGAAATTTTGTAATGCCACCTGGAGGGATAGTATTCTTAATACTGTAGATAGAAAATTTCACTCAAAGAAAACATTCCTTTATTTTTGAAAAGAAATAGAACTGCATTCAAAGATTTCCAAAAATTTGCATGCCACACCCGGGAATCGAACCAACTAAAATCTGTCAAAAATTACACCCTGTATTTTTATTGCATCGATCGTTAGGGTTAAGTATAAGGATGAAATCTCTCTAACAAACTTGATAACAAAAGGAAAACCAGGAAATCTTTAATTATTGTAATTATTTTCAGAAAACTATGGTATGGTAGAGAAATTTCGAAAAAAAAATCTCAAATCTTTGTGTGTTTTCAGAGCTTTCCCTCCAGGTGGCATTACAAAATTCCGCCCTGTATATTCAGTAAATATCCTTGGACATTTTATACTGCGCCTCGAATCCCAAACCAAGCAAACCTTATAGACGAGGGTACTAGACAACGAATATAAACATACTTAGGATAACTTTTTGAAAAAATATGGCAGCACTGAGAGGTATACGAGTATAAGTAAGTACTTAGGTAATACTTATTTTCTCACGAGCTCCTAAATACTCGAAAAGTTTATAGTTTAATGTATCTATTAACATAATTTAGAGATAAAGAAGCGGATACAGGCATAACAACTGAACTAGTCATAGGGTGACAAATAAATGTTTTCGTGCCTTGAATTTTAAAATCTTCAGACTACTTAGAATTTAATAACAATGTCAACAAATACTTAGGAGCTTCTAAAAGAAAATAATAATATTTTGTGTGTTTATTATTAGACCATTTTGTCCTTCAGTATGTTTCTAACATACAGTGACATGCCCCTTTTATTTTTAATTGTCGTTTCAGCTAAACGACGTCCACCGCTGGACAAAGGTCTACCCAAACCATTATAATGATCCCTATTANACCTATTAGTAATTTGGACCATGACAGACATACTAAGAGGACTTGTAATGTCTGACACCAGGCTTGTGACTACACTTGTTGCTGCAACCGATAGTAGAAGTAATACTTCAACTTTAGAGCTCAGAATAAATTACTTCAAGGAACTACGTCTAATAGAGCTTACTATACTACTTATTATTAGGTTTACTGAGGGCTGAGTGTGAGTTTTTTTCAAACGCGCTCACTATAGTCTTTTTCACCTAAGATGATCCGTATGACGTTTCGAGTTTGAAAGATTTAGAGATGTCACATAACTAAACCATAGCGATTTATCTATCGATTTTTTTCGAAGAGTTAGTAAAACCTACTTTTAGAGAAATATTTTGTGTAGGTGTTATTTAACAAAAAACATGTTTTTTTAATTACAAATATTATTGTAACAAATTTTTATTGATAATATTCAAATTTCATGGTTCGTGTTCAAAAAAACGATTCCTAAAAAGTACTGGTTCTGTTTCTTTAAATTAAAAACTATTAATTTATTTTCAATACGTTTATTAAAGTCAATAATCGAAAAATATAGTTGATTTTTGTGATGCTTTTAATAACTAAGTATTCACTGCAATCGATTAATGAACTGCAGAAATAATCGATTTTATTATACAAGAAATACCCCAGCACTAAATCTATTCCGTTTCACACATTGCGTACATTAAATAAAAAATATTTTTACATCGTATTTAATTAAAATATAATCAATAGACTCAGATTTTACTATATATTTCAAGACAAGTAGTTAATTTTTTTTTATTATACTGCTAATAAAATACAAATATTTTTTCAAAAATATTCTGCATATGTACTATGCGTAATATGGATAACCTTGAAGTGTCATACGGATCATCTTACGTGAAAAAGACTATAGTTAGCGTGTCAAAAAATGACATTATGTATGACGGATTGTACAGCGCCCCTAGCGGGAAACTTTCAAAAACTAAATTTTTCATACATTTTTTAAACACTCTCGCGTTTAAAAAGAAGTTTCATGTAAACTCACACTCAGCCCACTGGAGTGAGGATCATTCCATCATTCAAAATGTGAGTAATATAAGTAATGTAGTAACCGCATAATTATTATCTTATGGTAGGTACCTCAGTATGCAAGACATTCTACATTATTTCTTCGAATTTATTTGTATTTTGGACCCTTTGATCCGCTCTTTTACGTAACACGGTAAACTTCAGTAAATGAATTTATAAACAGGCCCGAATTTTATTAGTCTTAAAATTATCTTATATTTGATATGTAATTTTGTAAGTAACATCAAATATTAGATATTTTTAAGGCTTTCAGACTCGGTAGCAAATTTTAATATTCGAATATTCCTACTCATTTGAAGGTGAGTTAATGAGCTAATGACATGCTATTAATATGGAAGCCGTAATTCTACTACTAAGACAGTTTTTAACATGTTATGCAAAAGTTAAACATGTCTTCTTAAAAAACAACTTAAAATGAATATTTTAAGTTGAGTTCACTTTGTACGACGTTTTTTCATTCATATTATTTCCATGAATAAACTGTTGCCATGCATCAAATTCATCGGTTACACCATTAACTATACCTCCGGAAAGTATTCATATTAATTAATCTAAGTTCATCAACATTATTTAACCATTATCATCTTGTTTGCATCTTTTGACTTCACTTACATTTATAAATAACTCTGGAAATCAAACTCGGAAGCAATTCTCTTTTATTAAATGTCAACACAGATTGCCGCAGAGGATTGTTCATTTCGTTAAAAATAATATTACATATAAAGAATTTTAAAATGTAATTTTAATCATTTAAGCAGGGATTACTAAATTATAAAAATAACAAAATTTAAGATGTTTTATTACAATCTATTTTTTTTCTTGTATTACGTATTAAGAATGTGACAAGATAATCGTGAATCACAAACAAATGAATTATGGAATTGTTCACAGTCCTTGAATGCAGCCCGTTCGAAAAATCTTCCGTTTATTATTCGAAGCAGGGACTGTAGGCTGTTTCTTCATGGCGAGCCCGGTGCTAAGGTAAAAGTATAAAATCAGTGCTATTCCAGAACATACATCACAACACTTCTTGCATTTCGCGAGTTAACTTGAATCACTTTAAACTACCAAATCAACCCCAACAAAATGTTCAAGCTGGTGAGTTAATAATAGTTATCATTAGACAAAGATAAGTTGGTTTACAAAGCCGACTTTGAGTTAAGCTAGTAATACAATAAGTACAACATTTCACTAGGGATGAAGCATAAATAAATGGATCAAAGAAGATATTGTTATCAGTGAAATAATACCATCAGTGTGTCGATTGTTGACAAAAAACAATTGATGTGATCAAAATCTCCATCCATATTTGCTTAAATTGTGCCATTCCAACTTCTTTTGAATATCAATGTTGTGAAGATTGTAATCTTTACTTTATTTTACAGTTCATCTTCGCCTGCTTCCTGGCCTTCGCCGCCGCCAAGCCCGGTATTGTTGCTCCCGTAGCATATACCGCGGCGTACACCGCGCCAGTAGCCGCTGCGTACACCGCGCCAGTGGCCGCGGCGTACACCGCTCCGGTCGCAGCCGCGTATACTGCACCAGTAGCGTATTCCGCTTACTCAGCATACCCAGCCTACTCAGCCTACAGTTACGCGTCACCTTACTCTGCCTACTACTTACGCCGTTAATTTTAAACAACAAAATTTATTATTAAACCGCAAAAACCAACGCCGTTAATTAAAATTATTATTTTGAGTTATTAACCAATCAGGACTATACATGTGATGATAGTCGTGTAAATACTCTTTGCCAAATTCTCTCCTTAATAACATTGTACTTTGTTCTTTTGTTTTTTCATGGCTTAGTGCCTCTTATGTACCCATCTGTGATGTCCTTATCTATTATGTACATTTTAGACATAAGACAAACAATAAACATTTGAAAAGTAAATTTTAACCTGTTTCATTACAAAATAACCTACGAGTAAGTGTCGTTAAGGTATCTTGTAGAAAAAACAATCATACCTAATATGTTTATCCCGTCGTCTAGTACCCATAGTACAAGCTTTGCTTAGTTTGGGACTAGAGGCGCAGTGTAAAATGTCCAAGGATATTTATTTATTTATTATTTATTTATTATTAATAGTATACTTTTGTCAAATAAGGGACTGCTGTATTTAATAAACAATGTAGGTACGTATCTACCTAAAATTTTGTTACGGTTTTCAATGCAAAAACCTACTGTTTGCACGCAACGTTACATCTAGCGAAAAGATCACGATCTCAATCGAATCACATTGTTTTTACCTACTATGATTCCAATTTGACTGTACGAGAACGCTAAAACATACTCAATACAATAGTAAAGTTAACCACTCAGTTGCATTATTCATTCCAGTAAAGAACAGCAAATTATGCTCATTTGGTTTAAGTCAGTTCGGACTTCGGCATGCATATTACCAAAGTATCATCTCCGCATTCTCTGCTAATGTCCCAAATTGGCATATGAATGATCGATTTTTGCTGAGAGGCACAAGAGACGTCTCAATTGTTATTCCAAACGGATACCACAAGGTTGTTTCTTGAAAACGAGTGTACAATACAAAAGTAAACGTATAAATTACACTGAGTTTTAGAAAATAAATCACACTGTTATCAGCACTGCAGCGCTCTTGTGACATTATCTAAATTTATAGATATCAATATGTTGAAATTGGTGAGTTTTTTTTTCATTTTATTCTGTTTGATATAAAAGAAAGTTTGATCCCAATGACAAAAACATTACTCGACTCTTTATGCCAAATCTCTCAACTTTTTAGTAATTAATTTCAATTCTAAAATGTCGCCCCTAGCGGGAAACTTTCAAAAACTAAATTTTTCATACATTTTTTAAAGGCTCTCGCGTTTAAAAAGAAGTTTGATGTAAACTCACACTCAGCCCACTGGAGTGAGGATCATTCATAAATGTGAGTAATATAAGCAATGTAGTAACCGCATAATTATTATCTTATGGTACCTCAGTATGCAAGACATTCTACATTATTTCTTCGAATTTATTTGTATTTTGGACCCTTTGATCCGCTCTTTTACGTAACACGGTAAACTTCAGTAAAGGAATGTATAAACAGGCCCGAATTTTATTAGTCTTAAAAATATCTTATATTTGATAATGTAATTTTGTAAGTAACATCAAATATGAGATATTTTTAAGGCTTTCAGACTCGTTAGCATATTCGAATATTCCTACTCATTTGAAGGTGAGTTAATGAGCTAATGACATGCTATTAATATGGAAGCCGTAATTCTACTACTAAGACAGTTTTTAACATGTTATACCTATAGCAAAAGTTAAATATGTCTTCTTAAAAAAACAACTTAAAATGAATATTTTAAATTGAGTTCATTACTTTGTACGATGTTTTTTCGTTCATATTATTTCCATGAATAAACTGTTGCCATGCATCAAATTCATCGGTTACACCATTAACTATACCTCCGGAAAGTATTCATATTAATTAATCTAAGTTCATCAACATTATTTAACATTTATCATCTTGTTTGCATCTTTTGACTTCACTTACATTTATAAATAACTCTGGAAATCAAACTCGGAAGCAATTCTCTTTTATTAAATGTCAACACAGATTTCCGCAGAGGATTGTTCATTTCGTTTAAAATAATATTATAAAGAATTTTAAAATGTAATTTTAATCATTTAAACAGGGATTACTAAATTATAAAAATAACAAAATTTAAGATTTTTTATTACAATCTATTTTTTTTCTTGTATTACGTATTAAGAATGTGACAAGATAATCGTGAATCACAAACAAATGAATTATGGAATTGTTCACAGTCCTTGAATGCAGCCCGTTCGAAAAATCTTCCGTTTATTATTCGAAGCAGGGACTGTAGGCTGTTTCTTCATGGCGAGCCCGGTGCTAAGGTAAAAGTATAAAATCAGTGCTATTCCAGAACATACATCACAACACTTCTTGCATTTCGCGAGCTAACTTGACTGACTAAACCAAACCAACCCCAACAAAATGTTCAAGCTGGTGAGTTAATAATATAATATACCATTAGACAAAGACAAGTCGGTTTACAAAGCCGAATTTGAATTGAGCTACAAGTAGTAATACAATACACGACACTTAGTCACTAGGGATGAAGCTTAAATAAATGGATCAAAGAAGATAGTGTTATCAAAACGATGACCTGGCAAAAAAAACAAGTGGAAAAATACCTACTTTCATATAAGATTTTAAATAATCATGAAAATCAGTGTGTCGATTGTTGACAAAAAACAATTGATGTAATCATAATCTCCAGCCATAATTGCTTAAATTGTGCCATTACAACTTCTTTTGAATATCAATGTTGTGTAAATTATAATCTTTACCTACTTTATTTTACAGTTCATCTTCGTCTGCTTCCTGGCCTTCGCCGCCGCCAAGCCCGGTATTGTTGCTCCCGTAGCATATACCGCGGCTTATACCGCGCCAGTAGCCGCTGCGTATACCACGCCCGTGGCCGCGGCGTACACCGCTCCGGTCGCAGCCGCGTATACTGCACCAGTAGCGTATTCCGCTTACTCAGCGTACCCAGCCTACTCAGCTTACAGTTACGCGTCGCCTTACTCTGCCTACTACTTACGCCGTTGATTCTAAAGAAATTAAAGAACCACCCAAAAAAATCAGGACTAAAAATGACGTGATGATAGTCTCTTTGCCAAGCTCTCTCCATACTAACATTGTACTTTGTTCTTTCTTTTTTCATGGCTTAGTGCCTCTTATGTACCCATCTGTGATGTACTTATCTATTATGTATATTTTAGACATAAGACAAACAATAAACATTTGAAAAGTAAATTTTAACCTGTTTCATTACAAAATAACCTACGAGTAAGTGTCGTTAAGGTATCTCGTAGAAAAACAATCATATCTAATAATATACTTTTGTCAAATAAGGGACTGCAGTATTTAGTAAGTAAACAATGTACATATCTACCAAAATTTTGTTACGGCTTTTAATGCAAAAACCTACTGTTTGCACGCAACGTTACATCTAGCGAAAAGATCACGATCTCAATCGAATCACATTGTTTCTACCTACTATGATTCCAATTTGACTATACGAGAACGCTAAAACATACTCAATACAATAGTAAAGTTAACCACCCAGGTGCATTATTCATTCCAGTAAAGAACAGCAAATTATGCTCATTTGGTTTAACGTTTTAACTTAATGAAGTCAGTTCGGACTTCGGCATGCATATTACCAATGTATCATCTCCGCATTCTCTGCTAATGTCCCAAATTGGCATATGAATGATCGATTTTTGCTGAGAGGCACAAGAGACGTCTCAATTGTTATTCCAAACGGATACCACAAGGTTGTTTCTTGAAAACGAGTGTACAATACAAAAGTAAACGTATAAATTACACTGAGTTTTAGAAAATAAATCACACTGTTATCAGCACTGCAGCGCTCTTGTGACATTATCTAAATAGATATCAATATGTTTAAATTGGTGAGTTTTTTTCATTTTATTCTGTTTGATAAAATATAAAAGATAGCTTGATCCCAATGACAAAAACATTACTCGACTCTTTATAAGCCAAATCTCTCAACTTTTTAGTAATTAATTTCGATTCTAAAATGTAAATAAACTATAGCTGTACAACTAACATAGTACCTACTGTTGTATAAAAATAAAATGATTGTCGTTTTATTGTATGTTTACGGCTAAGTATAAAGTAAGTAACATGTAACAATCGACGACGGAATGAAGAAACTTCAATCGATGGAAAACAAAAGTGCGTGTCCAAATAATCCTCTTATCTTTCAGGTTTCAATAATACACTCCGGAACTTTTCAGTGGGATTATCAAAAAGCTATTTTAATTAAATAAAATGACATACTCTTGTTCACAGATCCTCATTTCTTGTCTCGTGGCGGTCGCTACAGCGAAGCCCGCCATCGTGCCACTCTTCAGCACAGGCTACACATCAGCATACTCATCAGCTTTCACCGCTGCTCTGCCGAGTGCGTACACCGCTCCGGTCGCTGCTGCGTATAGCGCACCGCTCACAGCGGCGTATAGCGCACCGCTCACAGCAGCCTATAGCGCACCGCTTACAGCAGCGTATAGCGCACCACTCACGGCCGCGTATAGCGCACCGCTCACCGCAGCGTACGCGCCTTATACATACGCATCTCCCTATGCCTACTACTTCCGTTGATAAATTATGCCATTTCCCTGTTAAAGAAACCAGTAGGTACTATAATAAATTAAACAATGTTGCTGAAATTATGTTTTTTATTCAGTTCACTTGGGTTTTCAATTAAATACAACATGTTCATAATATTATGTTTGTATTTATTTAGCACGTATTTATATGATTTATACGTTATTTTAATGATTTATAACTACTTAGCCCAAGTTATAATTAGAAGCTGATGGGTAGCGGGAATAAATAGACGGACTAAGACCTCCATAATAAGAATCTGAAATTGGCACTGCATTAACTGGATACCCAGACACTACCATACCATCTCCTAAGTCAGAGTAACCTGGTGGTGATGGCAGGGGGGGCGGGCCTCCTTTTGAACTATAGCTGAAGTGGCTGAAGTTAGGAATTATAAGGCGTCCATCAACGATAAAGAGTAAACATGCCATACAAATCTGAAATAAATAAAAAAACATTAAGGCCCAGAACAGACGGTGAAACGCAACTGCAACGAAACTGCAACTTTCTGATGATTCTTATGAATGAAACTGAAACTGAAAGTTTCAAATTGGTCGCATCATGTGTGGTCTCTCAACGGACGCTATGGCAGAAACTTAGATGCAACTCAAAAGTAACTAGCAGTTGCAGTTTCGTTGCAGTTGCGTTTCACCGTCTGTTCTGGGCCTAATGAAACTGAAAAATATTCATAAACGTAGAATTAAATTCTTGCGATTTCTGTATGCCACGACAGACTTTATCACGCGCCCTACAAGCAAAGACACCGTCGCGATGTGTCGTCATAATAATATGACGAAATCTGAGACATTCGTTATACTTTTCATTCTATAAGTACGGAAATTATAAATTTTCACGCCGTTCCAGTAAGTTTAAATTCACTTTGTTCAGTATTCAAATGTTATGGGTGCCATAGTAACGCTAGAAAAATGTGTGTTGATTATTATTTGACTTACCAGTAATGGGCACTTCATGATCACTGATTTAATTTTGATGTCCGGTACTACTCGGAGAACATAGGAAATAATGAAAATTATAGCCGTCATGTTTTATATACATATACTACTGAAAGGTTTCAATAGCGTAAGTATATCTAATGCACCATTTGTTTTGGTGGGGAAAATAAATTAGTAAGTAATCGACAAGTCATAAACCCAAAGCAATTTAAACGCACATTGCGTATGAATTACGCGATACAAGCTGATTAAAACTCCGTGTGGCTAATTTAGTACTACTAAGAAGAATGACATGGTCTAGGATTTCTGTTTTTTGTTGTTTGAAATAGTCGATAATTAAGTCACAGATTCCCATTTTGATAAAACTTAGGGATATGAATTGCTCATGTTAATTCTGACCAATAAAAAAATACGTAAGGGCTACCTTTTCTTTTTTATTATTTAGTATATTTTGACGTTCATAAGTGCCACTTGTGGTCTAACTAAACTGAATAAATGTTTTTGATTTTGATTTTTATAATATTAGCAACGTTAAAGGAAATATAAAGAACAATCCTTCTTTTTCTGAAGAAATAAATAAACTAATTAAGGTGACAAACCATTACCCCCACGAACAGTCAGCCCCAATTACTATCCGCGTTTATTTATAGACATAATGAACGGTTCACCCAGATATAAATCTCAGGGGTGTCGAAGAGGACTGTATTTGTATGTAAGGTAATATTTGTTTTCTAAGAATAGATTCTGCCATCACGTGATGGTCACTTGACACGTAAACGTAAACTTATCTTAGGTAGGTACCTCATGAGCCGTATTTTCGACATAGTTTTAAGTTGACTGTCATCCGTAGACTTTAAAATTAAATTCGTTTTTTCGCTTCAGCCTAATGACGTCTACTGCTGGACAAAGGCCTCCCTCAACGATTAAAATGACATTATTTTGGCTCTAAAATAACTAACAAGAGATGCGTGATTTGACTGACGATGGCAAAAACATTTACTCAATTTAACTCGCTATACAATGTGTCCAGGCATGTAGTGATCAAACTTTAGGGGCGAAAATCAAATCTAGAGACAATTTTATCGATAAAAATACTTCAAATTTGGGGCTTGACCCATTTATCGCAAAATTACAAGGATTTAAGTTTTTAATTTTTAGTTTTCACCTCTTCCTTCAAAAACAAGTGAAAGCGTGGGTAACTTAACATTAATAAGCAAATATTTTATATCATGCGATAGCCAATAAAATTATCTATTAGTAGAAGTAGAAAACAGACACAAGTTTCATACTTTTTTAGTTATTTTCCAACACAAGAAAAACCAGGTCGTTAAGGTATGTTTTATTTGCATTGTATTATTATTATTTGAGCTATTCTACAAAACGAATGTAAATTTATTAGTCTACGTCTATTAGTTTCGACGTAATTGTTGAACAAAGATACCCCTTCCCAGCGATTCCATAGCGCGGCTAGTATGTAATCGGAATAGGTTGTGTGATTCTTTCAGGCAGTGCATTTTCGCATGTCGCGTGCGCTATGGAAACCGCTGGGAAGGAGTATCCTTAAAGTTTGATCACTACATGCCCGGACACACTGTATATTCAGCAAAACCAATTGGGTAGTTTTAATTGTATAATTTTGGAACATCAATTATTTAATTCCACCATTGTGTAGGTATATAATTTCATTTGGGGATGGGTTTGGCGCTGACTTAAGTTTTAGCTCCAGGTATCCGTGCTTCAGCGCCACAGCTTTCAACAATGATGGTGATGAATGAAATTTTAAACAAGGAAAATTGCCATTCGAAACATTGTTGCCGCTAATCGTCATTCATAGGGCGTGATAGTACAGGCGCATATCCTCACATGGCCGTACTCGGCCTTCGCAACTTAGTATAAAGTTCGCTACGGACGATCACTGGACATCATTCAGCTCAGCAGTGTCAGCCAAGTGATAACCAACAATCAAAATGTTCAAACTGGTGAGTTAAAAAGTCCTTACAAGATTGTAACAAAACATCTTAACTGGTTAGATCATCACGATCGGTGAAAGTGAAAAGATATGTCGCTAAAGTTGACTTAACCTGTTTTATTTTACAGTTCATCTTCGCCTGCTTCCTGGCCTTCGCCGCCGCCAAGCCCGGCATTGTAGCCCCCGTGGCGTACACCGCGGCGTACACCGCGCCCGTTGCCGCTGCGTACACCGCGCCCGTCGCCGCCGCGTACACCGCGCCTGTCGCCTACTCCGCCTACTCTGCCTACCCCGCCTACTCAGCCTACACTTATGCTTCTCCTTATGCTGCCTACTACCTGCGCCGCTGAAGACTGTACTGATGAAAACCGACAAATTGGATGACAATTCGAAATGTGATTTATAAATAAATTATTATTGATACTCTTAAATATTGTAATTTCATTTTAAATGACCTAATTTAGGTGAAGCAATTAATTAGTACGCCAGCTGTGAACTAAATCTCCATTTTACCAAAATCTAACTCACAATTGGGAAAACATCTTGCCTACAATTGAAAACTGGGACGTTTGAAGAAACATTCCGAAAACTTTAAGTCTCTGTGATTCTATTCAGATAAAGTTTGGTTTTTATGGTCTAGTAATTTTGCTCAAGTTGATTGTAACTGAAGAAAATGATATTATAGTTTTTATTTACAAGTTCTCAATAACATAAGTAATCATGTAAACCAACTTGATTCAAAAAGAGTTAGAAGTAAGAAAGAGTTAATAACTCAATGTAAACTAACTTTTATTCATTTTCATTTTTCATTTTAGCTGAACATTTTCAGTTAGTGTTTTTTAGGGTTCCGTAGTTTTGACAAGGAACCCTTATAGTTTCGTTATGTCTGTCTGTCCGTCCGAGGTTTTGCTTGGAAACTATGTATAACGCCGACAAAACGGTACAATAAAATTATGAAAAAAAAAAAATTTGGGTAGCTCCCCTACATTTAAAGTGGGGATGATTTTTTTTTTCATCTTCTACCCCATTGTGTGGGGTATCGTTGGATATGTCTTTTTACATAGGGGTTTTTAAGACTATTTTTCGATTTAGGGATCTGTTTGCGCAATATTAAAGTTTAAAGTGCCAATTTTTGTGCGAATAGGGCGTCCAGGGAGGCCCCCCTCTACAAATTAACCTGTTGGCTTGAAAAATCTGGAAAAATTCATAATAATAGTGCTTTTTATGAATTTTTAAGGAAAACTATAACAGTTAAGATAGATCAGCTAGTTTAAGAGTAATAGTCGTTTAACTTATCTATACTTATAATAAATCTGTAGAGGTCAATTCTGTACATGAAATATATTTTCAAAATAACTATCAGGGGGTGATTAGTGATCGATACTGATGCCAAAAATGCAATCAGTAAAATTTTTGTCTGTCTGTCTGTCTGTCTGTCTGTCTGTATGTCTGTCTGTTCCTTATAGAAACAAAAACTACTCGACGGATTTTAACGAAACTTGGTACAATTATTCTTCATACTCCTGGGCAGGTTATAGGATACTTAAGAATGCCCACCGGAACGGGAATTAGCGGGAAAATCCTTTTGTATGAAAAATCTAAACCGCTTAAGTTAGACGCTTGAAATTTGGCATGTAGGTACCTTAGTAAACTCAAAGCTTAGTTACAACAGGATATTGCAAAATTCCCACGGGAACGGGAGTTAGCTGGAAAAAACATTTGTATGAAAAACTCTAAACCGTGTAAGATAGACGCTTGAAATTTGGCAAGCAGGTACCTTAGTAAACTTAAAGCTTAGTTACAACAGGATATTGCAAAATTCCCATGGGAACGGGAGTAAGCGGGAAAAAACATTTGTATGAAAAAATCTAAACCGCGTAATATAGACGCTTGAAATTTGGCATGCAGGTACCTTGGTAAACTTAAAGCTTAGTTACAACAGGATATTGCAAAATTCCCACCGGAACGGGAGTTAGCGGGAAAAAAATTGTATGAAAAAATCTAAACCGCGTAAGATAGATAGATGAAGGGGGTAAAACGGGATCCACGCGTACGAAGTCGCGGGCGGCCGCTAGTGTATTATAAAATTTCATACCTCATAAAAATTCCTTAGAAGAAAATATGAAAAGTGACTTTAGATGAAGTAATTGCTTGCTTCTGAAATATATTGTGGTAACGACGGACAACTATGGAACCCTACACTGCACGTGACACGACACGCACTTGTTAATATTTCAATCGAATTTTATTAAATTTGTTTTATTATTAACGGTTACTTAAGTTGGTAGGTAATTCAATTTGAAATATAGTACTTATTACTACTTAAAAAGATATTACATACATTTGAAGCAGAACCTTTAATACGTTAAATAAAGCTTATTCTTGGTAATATAGCGAAATTTCATCCTTACCAGTAAATATTGGTTCTCGTAGATAGATCTTAATTTGGATTCAGAATAACTAATCTAGATGTGTGTCATTATTCTAAGGTTATTGAACTTCACTCGTTCAATGAATTCCATTTCAAGTCTCATGTTAAACGATGAACAATAAGGTTATTGTATCATCAGCTATACTTATTAGTTAACCGCTGAATATGTGTTTTTGAAACTTATCTTGAGTTTTATGAATTAATTTGGTAGGTATTTGAAGTGACAAAATTTTGGATTTTCTCAGTTATAATCCAATTTTACATTGAACTTTCTATTTCTATAATTTATATTTGCTGCTCGTTATATTAAAATTAATGTAATCCAACTAGACACGTGTAGATTTCTTAACAAATGAAGAAACAAAAAGTCCACTATTAGAAAATCTAACGAGCAAAAACTTTTAATTGTCTCTCTAAAAAGTAGTTTAACTCTACAAAGCCGTCATTTTAAAATTCACGTGACTCCAAAAGGGCACGTGTAACAAAACTAAGCATTTTATGATCATACCTGTAACGTTAAGTTGTAGTAACGGCAATTGCCTTATGGTGGATTCTAACAAAAAAGAGTAATTAATATTACTACATATACTACATCTATACAAAGAGTGATTAATATCTCAGAATAAATCGTAGTTTTGACATATTTCCCATACTGAAACTGTCAATGTGTCAGTTATATCAAGAGTTATTCTTGGATAAAAGTTTGGTCGAATCGGGCCTTACTTATGTTCTACTAAAATAGAATCGAGATCCACCCACGACGGCACGGCACAAGATGCGCTTAATTTCCGGTGCGGTGTCGGCTGTACCTACGCCTAGGGCGGGCGTGTTGACACCGCGGGCGTACAAATGACGTAGCATAGAGTAGAACAGTCGGGATAGACAAAGAGTCATAAGACTATTTTTCGCTCAGAGAAAAAGTAACAGTCTATAGTTGCCGCTGTCTATTGTAGGTACTGAAACCCCGCAGTATTTCTTATCCATAGATTCGTTAAGTTCCTGTAAAATTCCATAGTGTAACTACATGAAGTTAACTCACGAATTATAAAGCTTTTTAAATAATTTTCACGAACAGAGCATAATTTTTCAATGGTATTTTTATTAATTTCGTGGAAATTGTTACCATATAAAAATACCAAGTTTTATAATGTCCATCAAAAATACGTTTGTTGAATAGTGTATGAATTACCTACCTTGATAGGTGAAAAGAAAATGATGATTCATTTTCTTTTTCATTTTCCAGCGCGTGCATCATAAGCGTCGACACGCGTTATGGTGACACGCGTTATGGTGACATGCATTATATCCATAACAGCGCGCGTCATCCCATCGTGGCTTATGTCAATGCCCCAGATTTTGTATGGAAATAGTCACAACTCACACCAGCATCAACGCAATACAGTGCAACGTTCGCAAGAAAACGGTCATACCAAGGGTTAAAATATTAAACGGGTAAGTTTGTCCAATGTAACAAAAGAACAAGCATCAAAGTTCATTTGTATTAAAAATCATCTTAAACACATCTAAAAATACATTGAAAGAAACTTGGAAGTGTTACTTTCGCCTATTGTTTCAGTCGGCAAGGCTGGATTTAGTCACCGCTTTTGCAACTTTTCAACTTTGACGGCTAAGAATAAATTGGATTCGAAAAATTTTAAATTTAACCGAAGTTATTTTAAGAACACAAACTTTTGTTCCATTTTTAGACCTACTTTTCTGTTTTTACCTTAATTTTTGCGTGTTTGTTTTTCTTATTCAAGCTTTTTTTGTTCTTTGTTTGTAGTCGTTATAATTTGCTTTAAGCTGAATTAAGCGTGAAAAAAGAAAAGTATGAAAGGTTTGATACACAGCTTTATAACTACAGAGGTCTTAGTGTGAGTTTCATCAAACGTCGTCGCTAGCGAGTGCATTAAAAAAATCTCAAAACATTTTAGTTCTTGAAAGTAGTAGTATCCGTTAGGGACGCTGTATAATCCATGTCATACATTTAGGCTGAGTTGCACCACCTAACTTTAACGGTAACTATAACGATAACCGATGCTTTTTATATGGAGTTTGACATATTTTTGACGTTTATTAAAGTTAAAGTAAGATGGTGCAACCCAGCCTTATGTCATTTTTGTACGCGCAGTCGCTAGCGAAGACGTTTGATGTAAACTCACATTAAGCTCCCAGCTGGTTAAAACAAATCAAATGATATCCACGGTTAAATGCTATCATGCCTATATACAGCGTGATCGTGTCTTATAGGTACACAACTATTAATTTTCGAATTCGGACATAGCGATGCAGCTGTGAATCTGAAATGCTACAGAACCATTAAGAGAACGTGCCAGAACAGAGGTGGAATTGTGTAAAGCAATCGTAATCATTTGACAGTTCATAACGTACGATAAAGTTAGTTATACAAAGCGTTTGACAGAACAATCGTACGTTATGAACTGTCAAATGATTACGATTGCTTTACACAATTCCACCTCAGATCAAAAGATCCCGGACTAAACTTAATAGTAAGTGTTAAATTTTTCACTAGCGTACGGAACATCCGTGGTTATTTAAAGTTACTTCTTTGCATGCAAGAATATCATCCAAGCAATCTGGAAATCATTGAGAGAGTGGGAGGCCAATGTTTAGCAGTGGACGTCCTAAAGTTGAAATGTTGATGATGCTAGAATACTAAATCTCCTAACAATGATGAATCTCACTTAACCTTGAGATTAATGAGACAGCCCTATTCGTCAATTCTCTAGTACAAGTCGTCCAGTTTAAATAGGCGCATTGACCTCCAGGGCTGTCGCAACCGACTTGCCAACGCGAGCACGCGCGGACTGACCTCTGACGCAATGTTACCGGCGCATCCTGAATGTTTATTACTTGTATGGCACATGCAGGATGGAACCAAGCATACTTTTAACAACTATACTCAACATCAAATAAACCGCACCTTCCGCGACGCGAACTTTAAATATTTTCTTCTGACGTAATCATGGTGCCCCAACAATATTGGTGTTATTTGAAAGCCCAATAAATATCCTTAAAGAAAAACACATTTAATTTCTTAATAAATGATTAACATATACCATAAATGTGACTTGAAAAAAGACCTCACTTTGGGCTCACCTCTGGGATCAATTAGACTAAATTTTATGATTATAAAACCAAATAATGGTCACACGTGTCCTCTTTAACAGATGGATAGCGATTAATCCCAACTTAACAGTTTTATAGCCATAAAAGTTGGCTCAAGCGTAACTGCCTATTTTTTGAAGAAGTGACTCTGGATCCTTCTAAAGACACATTTTTGGGGTAAACACCTTGCCTTTAATGAAATGAAGCTTAGAACTAGGCTTTTAAATGGTGCCAATATTGGTGGGAAGTGGGGATGCATACGTTTGAAAGTGGTTTGTCGCGGGAGGTGCGATTTATTTGATGTCGAGTGTATTTCATCCTATGATCGTGTGACAAAAAACTGTAGACAAATATACCTACCACTTTCAGTAAATTTTAGACAACTTGAAATAAGATGATATTTTAGCAATATTTTTAGGTAGGAAAAAAGTAATATTTTCAGCAATTGTTCCATTGCTTGAAATATATCACTATGTTCAGCCATGTAAGCAAATAGGTATATTAAAAATAGGTACATTATTGATAAACCTTTATAAATATAAACCTTTTTCCAAGCAGTTTTCCTTCATTTAATTATACAATGTGAGGACAGGTAAAGGCAGAATTACTTATTTTTCTTGTGTGAGTACTTTCAGAAAACAAAAAATAGCTTAAAATCTTTATTCTAATTCTCGGATACTTTTAAATTATTGTGGTCTAAGTGAGCACAGGGCTAAAATTCTTTTAAAACTATACATGTATTTTTTTTTCAGATTGGTTCACTTTTGCATAAACACTAATTCGATGTTTATCTTGAATTCGGAGCAACTACCACGATGCAAGCCAACCCTCGTAATATCGCGAAATTGTCTCTAGCGACCAAGCTAGTATTTAAACTGGGTACGATCCTAATTTCGATATCAGTCTTGTAACAGCAAGAACAAACTACCAACATGTACAAACTGGTAATTGTTTTATTTGATGACACTCATTTATTAACTTTTTAGGAAAAATACAGTTTTTTAATATTATGATTACTTTTTAGTAATATACAGAACATAGGCTTTTTGATAACAAATATGTATACGAGTATATGGATTAAATGACTGAATGACGTGATTAATCTCTTCTAATTAATTATTAATGCATTTCTAATAAATTAATTAATTATGCTAAATGATCTTGTTCGTAACAGGTTGTATTCGCCGCCCTCCTGGCTCTCGCCGCCGCCAAACCAGGCATCCACTCGGTTGCCTACCCCGCGGTTGCTGCGTATACTGCGCCAGTTGCCGCTGCGTATACCGCGCCAGTTGCCGCTGCGTATGCCGCGCCAGTTGCCGCTGCGTATACCGCGCCAGTTGCCGCCGCGTACGCCGCGCCCGTTGCCGCCGCGTACACCGCGCCATTTGCCGCCGCGTACACCGCACCAGTAGCTGCCGCGTACGCCGCCCCTGTTGCTGCTGCGTATACAGCGCCAGTAGTAGCTGCCGCATACAGAGCTCCTGTTCTACTTAAATGAAATCCACGAATTTAAGAACTGATGTAAATAAATGATTTTTACGCTTAACTAGTAAAATTGTTATTTTATTTAGAAGGAAGCTAGCACCTACCTAATTCATGACTACAACTGGAAGCAAGTGAAAGATTTCCTTAAATAGTTGCCTATATTATCACTCTCTCTTTATGATAGTTGTAATACTGAAATAACGTAAAAAAAAACGATCTTGTCTTCATTTAAGTAGCAAACTAGAACACCAATAATCACAACCATGATGAGCTCGAATATGCTCGATTGATATCTAAATGTACCTATTTATCTTTGATCAATTATATGTTAATTGAAACACCAAATACATTGAGTGCTCGAAATAGCTGTGATGTAACACAAAGGGCACCGTATAACATCATTCGACTCCTGTACTCGACGGGATGTCTCGAGGGTGTTGTGACGTCATTGCTCTGTAAGTGAGCACCCCATTGAGCATTTAGCCAGCACTAAAATACTCCTGAAACGGTAGAGGCATACTTAATTCAATGCTGTGACGCTCGTGCCGCATCCTGCCAACCTTTATACATAACCTTTCCACGAAACTAACTACACAGTTTGTGATTGCGAGTATGAAATCAAGTCTAAATACATAATTTGGTTACTTTGAGGCATCATAACGTATAGATGAACTAATTTGGCTTACATTGATCATTCATTACGATTCATTCAATGCATTAAAACAGTGTTTTTCAACCTGTGGGTCGCGACCCCCTGGGGGGTCTCGAAGCCTCTATAGGGGGGTCGCGAGAGGTCGTAAAAACTACCTCAGTAAAAAAAACAATAGTTATAAAGACAGATTTATCCGAAATCTAATTATGCAAATGCATTAAAATATTGTATGGATTGAAGTATTCGATCCCTACAAACATCTTTGTAACAATATAAAATGCATGAAAAAACAAGCGAACGGTCGGGGGGTCGCCAAATATTTTTTCATACTAGGGGGGTCGTGTCATGAAAAAGGTTGAAAAACACTGCATTAAAATATAAACTTACAAAGATACAGACGTTATAGAGAACCCTCCACCCTTTCTGAAGCCGGATAAATATAAAATTACTCTAAAATAATCATTTTCAGAGTTCAGTTACCCTCGTTATTTTTGAAATAGACACTTTCCTCAATTTCTTTAAGCTATGTAAAGGTAATTAAAATAATGGAACAGTTTATAAAGCACTAGCTTAAGAGGCCAGATAAAACTTTATTTACTTGACCTATTTAAATTTTTATTTAAATTTTTATTTAAATTGAATCTTAATGTGTACGTACAGACCGGTGGAGTAGGAATTGCATACCTATATCTTAAATCTTTTAAGACTGATTCATCTCACATCGTGGGAAAAAACTCTTTATTAGATATTCATCTCTCCAAATTAATAATTCTCGAGGAAAATTATTTCAAACTTTAAAAGTAAACTTAACTCTGCAGTAGAAACGCACGTTCTGTAGCTTCTAAAAAATGAAAATGGAAGCTTTTAATGAAAGCAATGAAACCTTTTCCTGTGCTTTACTAGCTTTTAAGTTACTAATCATCCTACAACTTTTAATTTAAGGTAGGTTCGGAACCCCAAAAATATAATTAGGACTTAAAATAAGTTCTTTTAACATTAAAAATTATTTTCATAGCATAAAATGTTACATTCAAATTGTACAACTTTGTTTCAAATGTAAATAAAACTGGTTTCCAATAGAGTTATGTCACAACAGCTTTATGAATAAGTAAATGCAGTAATTGGAATACTGCTAGAAACAAGACTAATAACGCAATTAATACATAACAGCGATATTGAATATAATTGTATATAGTTATATCAAGTTCAGGGCTTCGCGGCCTTGATCGACGGGTAAGGATGTGTGCGTGACACTGCGCATGGAATGTTCGAGGCTCTAGATCCTTGTTGAGTAACTGCCGAATCATAGGGTGATATTGTTACTTTAAAGATTTACCTAATAACCTAGGAAATAGTAACCCAAAAATAAAAATGTGCAATAAGTCAATGCTTCCTTAATTTTAATGAAACTAAGGTACCTATAGTATCATTCATTGTGGGATTATATTTTAATTTTGTTAATTTTTGCTAAAAAAATGTCTCAACATATTAGATCATGTTTTATATGGAAAAGCTACATACGAGTATTATGCTTTCATTAAAATATATATTCATTGTGCGTATAGTAGGAGTTCGTGCGTTTTTTCTTTGTATAAAAAAAAACGTGACAGGAAATTTTCAGGTAGTTCACCCCAATTTTGAGAAGTTATCAGGGAGATACGATATACACAATTTCTAAAAAACGTTATGAGAAGAGAATGAGGTTTTCGAAGAAATACCGGCAAAAATAAACATTATTCAATACAACTTATTTGTACCTACACACAATTAAAAGAAAAAAGGAAAGACAAGCAACTGATGGAAAATTTACGCAAATATGATGAAATTTACAATAGAATTTTTTTTTTATACAACATAACATAATCATTAATGGTACTCGTAAGTCAATGTCATTGCCTTTGTTCCGAAAATATTGATCAAAGGACGTATTCAGGAATCAGGTATGTTTCACGAAGGTATAATTAGGCAAATTTTAGATAAAACGCTGTCAAAACGATTTGATTTGAATTTGAATAAATCGCTTAGACAATTCTAGACGGAATGACATTCGGCAAACATCCTGTCATGACTCTAACTGGTCAAGTAGGTATTCTAATCGCGTACGAGTCCCGATCGCGGCATCGCACGTATAGGTACACCAAGGTACAAAAATATCGAGCCTTTNGCGGCCTTGATCGACGGGTAAGGATGTGTGCGTGACACTGCGCATGGAATGTTCGAGGCTCTAGATCCTTGTTGAGTGACTGCCGAATCACAGGGTGATATTGTTACTTTATGTATAGAAGATTATTTCAGCGAGTAAAATACCTAATAGCCTAGGAAATACTAGCCTAAGAATATTAATAAATAAATGCAGTCAAGGAGGTATGCTTGACACTGCGCATAGAATGTTCGAAACTTTAGATCCTTGTTGAGTGACTGCCGAATCACAGGGTGATATTGTTAACTATTATCAGTACTTATTATTATTTTGTGCTATTATCGACAACAGATTGTTTCAGCGAGTAAAAGATTAACTAAACCTAGGAAATTGTAGCCTAAGAATAATAATAAACGCAATAAAGGATGTGTGGGTGACACTGCACATGGAATGTTCGAAGCTCCTGATCCTTGAGTGACACCGCTCCCGAATCACAGGGTGATATTGTTATTTTAAAGATTTACCAAATAACCTAAGAAATAGTAACCCAAAATTAAAAATGTGCAATAAGTCAATGCTTCCTTCATTTCAATAAAACTATGGTTATCATTCATTGTGGGATTTTATTTTAGTTAATTTTGTTAATTTTTGCTAAAAAATGTCTCAACATATAGTAAAGCATAATAATGCTTTCATTAAAATACACATTCATTGTGCGTATAGTAGGAGTTTGTACGTTTTCTCTTTGTATAAAAAAACGTGACAGGAAATTTTCAGGTAGTTCACCCCCGATTTTGAGAAGTTATCAGGGAGATATCGTATACACATTTTTAAAAAAAACGTTATGAGAAGAGAATGAGGTGTTATAATAAATACCCGCAAAAATAAATATTATTCAATACAACTTATTTGTACCTGAAAAAAGAAAAGAAAAGCAACTGATGGAAATTCACGTGAATGTGATTCAATTAACAATAGATACAATTTTTTACACAACATAACATAATAATTCATGGTAAAGTCAATGTCATTGCCTTTGCTCCGAAAATATTGATCAAATGTCGTATTCAGGAATCAGATATGTTTCACAAAGGTATAATTAAGATAATTTTGGATAAAACGCTGTCAAAACGATTTGATTTGAATTTGAATAAATCGCTTAGACAATTCTAGACGGAATGACATTCGGCAAACATCCTGTCATGACTCTAACTGGTCAAGTAGGTATTCTAATCGCGTACGAGTCCCGATCGCGGCATCGCACGTAGGTACACCAAGGTACAAAAATATGTACCCATCACTCGCCCTTACTGCATCGACCTAAGGATTAAAAACGTGCACTTATTTTTTCGCTTGATGGTACTCCAAGGTGCGCAAACGCCGGACCGATGCCAAGACAATGGGGTCATCACTGGACCCTTATATATGGCCTGGACTTAGTCTCATCAGTCAGTGTACAACCGATATTCACAATACAAACAATCAATATGTTCAAGCTTGTGAGTACTTGTTATTATTTAAGTAAATATTTATGCACTTTTCTAGATAATTTGCACTTTTAACATATTACGGCGATTTCCATTAAGTGCATTTAACATAATTTTCACATTTCAATGCTGAAAACTTGTTCTAACTAAATTTATGTAAAATTAGCCTACTTACAATAGATGTTGATCTAGTTTTAGTGTTTCGTGCGCTATTTAAATATTTTTATTAAACTCTATCTTGCCATAAAGTTCAGTTTGTGATTGACCGGTATATTATTATCACTCTACAAATCAAATCTACAAACCCAATAAAGGGAAAAAACAAAATTTTTAATCGCAGATGCGTCGACAAAAAAGCTTTATTATGATAATTTGTCAGCTCTATATTTTACGATTGTAAATTTTGCTTAAATTAGCCTGCATAGTAAAGTAATAAAAGCGTTTTGTGTGCTTTGATATTTTATAATGCAAATCAATAATTATTTGCATTTAGCAGGTGCGATCTGGTAGATATGCACAGTATAAATTATACAAATGTCTAGGACGTGTTTTATTATGTACTGATATACCTAAAGAAAGAAAGAAACATTTATTGCCATGGACATCACAGAAGACAAAAGATGTAAATAATGGAAAAAAAAGTAAATAAGACATAGGTGACATAAAACATACAATGAAAGTGAAAGTAAAACTGAGCAGTGCCACCCTGTCGCACAGCGATGTCCATCGCAATGGGACCCCACTCAGCATATGCCATGGCCCCCGGTGAGGGAGGCCACGACGCTGGTTTTCTCCTAAACATTTATACCTACTAACTTTAAATAGAAGTTTTTCCGTGGCCCTCATTAAATTAGGCTCGCTTCACTTACTTATAGATAGAGCAAGCTTAAAATCTATTAATGTTATAGTCTTTTAGATGTTATTGACAATGTTGACATTATTTTGTTTTTTTACTAAAAACTGCCACACATAAAATTAATATATCTGGGTTAGTTACATTACTTTTTAGGTCTTGTCGATAAGTTCGACACAGTTGTGGCACTGAATTTCACGCGGGCGAATAAAGCAGCGGGCAAAAGCTAGTTAGTTATCTAGCAATTCTTAGGCCCGATTCTACCAAACTTTTATCCGAGAATAACTCCTGGTAATTGACAGTTTTAGTATGGGAAATATGTCAAAACTGACGATTTATTCTGTGCGAATCTTACTCTTGTTTGGTCGAATCCACCCTTAGGCTGAGTTGCACCATCTTACTTTGACTTTAACAAACGTCAAAAATCTGTCAAACTCCATACAAAATACACAGGTTATCGTTATAGTCACGACGGTTAAAGTTAGGTGATGCAACTCAGCCTTACTGTCCTAAAATTTGTTTATTTTCTCCCGATATGACGTCGTTCATGAGTAACTAGCGCTCGTGTATCATCGTCTCGCGTGTATAAAGCATTTAAAGCATTTCTTTTGTTCATATATCGACACGTTTTGATGCAAGGATGCAACCCACACCTCAACAGAAGAAAAGAATACGTATTCTATATTTAATAACACGAGCATGACCAGTTACGGCAGATAATGGATGACGCACGTTGGTCTCAGACTAGCACTCCATTGATTCTTAAGAATGCCCACCTATTAGTTTGACAGTGCAAAAGGCATCAGGCCCATTTTTATTATTGACTGGATTTGCGAAAAAGGCGTCTGCCAGACAACTAAAACGAGAGCTAGTCTCATTTTTGGTTGAACTCCTAATTTGTTACATTCGTCTACAATTCTACATCTTCTGTTGTCACTTTAACGAATTCGATTCCTCATTGCACTGTAAAATTAACCACGTAATTGGGTTGCATTGTCCCACCATTTGCAGACAGTCTTCCTATGTAGTCATAGTCAGCATTGTGCATTTTTTTTATTTAAAACACTGCAACTAGTAGTTTAACAATTTTTTAATACTTCTATATTTAACTTCAGATGGCTAATTTTCAGGTAGATTTTTCCTTTTGTGTGTAAACTAAAGTACTTTTATGTTTTTATATTATAATCGTAAATTGCGTAAATATTTTTGGGTGTAATGAATAAATATATATATTTTTTTTTAATTTTACACACCTGTGGTAAATCCATCGTGTTTCCACGCGGATCTTTTATCATCAACATCATCATTTAGCCACAGAATGTCGACTGACGAAACGAACATAGCCCTCCCCCAATAGGCTCTATATTCCTGGACATTAACGTTTTTTTTTCTCAACAGCTGATCCTCGCTGCCCTGATGGCGTTTGCCGCCGCTAAGCCCCTCGTCTACACGTACTCGGCTCCCGTGGCTGCCTACAGCGCCCCCTACGCAGCCTACACAGCCCCCGTCGCCTACAGCGCCTACTCCGCCTACTCCCCCGTCGCCTATTCCGCTTATTCTTACGCCGCGCCTTACTCTTACTATATTTAGATGCCTCAACGCGTATATCATAATGAAGTTTATTTATAATTAACGATACTGGACCAAATGTAGTACTTAGCTAAGAAAGTGAATTACACTCTATAAACCCAAGTTGTCTTTTCATTATCCCTTAATTTAAGCAAAATTTAATGGTACATTTAGTCAAAAAGACTCTTATAAAGTTCTAGTAGGTACATAAAATGATTTCAAGAATTTTTTTATAACACAAGGCAGAACGTTAACGCCATAATGTCGTTTAAGTCATAATCTTAAAAATTAAACTACTAATAGTCGGTATTGATAAATTATTTTATATCGTCCTTCTTACTAATATTATATTATCTGTGCTAATAGCATATCGGCTCTAGCAACCATAGCCTACAGTCCTACACCTTCTCCTAGTTAGTGTACCTACACAGCCCCCGTTGCCTACAGCCTAATGCCTACACACTCCTGACGCCTATTCAGCTTATTTTGCACTGCGCGCCATGTAGCTAGGTACTCTTACCACAGATGCCACAGCAAATATACGAGTATTCTACATTTATTAACATTGAATAATACAATAATCTTGACCAAAATATAAGAAAGATTTTATGGGGTGTTAAGACCCATATCGGCAATATTAAGCATGTCAGTAACATCGCTACAGATATTAGCAAAATGGAGTAAATTAGTCACGTTTTTGCTTTTAGCCTTGAAGTTAATATTTGACAGAACAAATTTTTTCTTTGTTCCATTTTACCAATATCCTGAATAATGAAAATTGAGTCTTAAAACAATCGGTTAGACCTCCTTTGACGTCTGGCAAGTAATGTATTTTGGGTGGTGGTCAGGTTTTGATAAATCGTATAAAATAGCTGTCGCGAATGGGAGCATCATCATTCAGTGCACAACAGTCTGAAATCATTTGTCAATCATGTACAAGCAGGTAAGTGTATTTGATGGAATGTCATACGATGTGAAATATTTGCTTGACGATGATATTACCTATATCTGCCCATAAAAATAATTTTATTTTACAACAATGTTTAATTAACTCCTAAGTAAAAATGCTATTACGTAAAAAGATCTTTAAAATAAAAAATAATATGTTTTACATGGGCACCTTTTTGATGTTATACATATAAAGAGCAAGTAGGTAACTATAACCTAAATATGTAAAATAGTGCAATCTAGCTGTAGCCATGCTGATTATGTTAATGATGCATATCAATTAAGTTCATCTTTGCTAATTTAATAATATCTCGATTTATTCAAAAATTACTCATTTGGACGTCGCTATCGATAGTTAACTTCACTTCTTGCATAAATTTAATTTGGTCGACTTTTTGTTAGATTTTTAATCTGATAACAAATCTTTTAAACAACGGGAATATGAGAGCATGTTTAGTCACCGTTTTTACTGAATAGATCATTATGGTGTATGGAAATTAGTTTGTTCTTTCAAAAATAATCATCTCATATAAAATGTAAAAGACATTCTTGTCATAATTATTATTGAAGAATTAAAATAGTATTTTGTTTACAGATCGTTGCCGTTTTCGCAGTCCTCGGACTTACCGCCGCCGGACCCAAAGCCAGCAATCTGGTTCCTTCGGCCTACTCAGCTGTAGCGCCCCAGGTCTCATACTCCCCAGTGGTCTACTCCGCCCCTTCATACAACGTCGCCCCTGCCGCCTACAGCGCCCCCATAAAGTACAGCTCTCCTGTCGCCTACACCGCCGCCGCACCGTCCGTCTACTCAGCTCCTGCATCCGTTTACGCAGCACCTGCATCCGTCTACCCTGCCGCAGCACCTGCGTCCGTCTATCCTGCCGCAGCACCTGTCTACGCTGCCCCAGCATCCCTCGCCTACTCCGCCCCCGTCTCCTACTCCGCCGTACAAGCCCCCGTTGCCTACGCTGCCGAAAGCCCAGTGGAATACCCATACCAGCCCGCTTACTACTGGAAGAAACGCTAAGAAAACTTGTAACTTGCTANCCTAGTCTTGTGTTTAGACTGTTATGTAATATGTATTTTTAGTTTTTATGAAAAATAAATGATTTATTATTAATACACACTTTTTACTGTGAGAACCTATGATAAAAATAAAGTGTATTATTGAGGAATATAGTCCAATGCCTGCTCTATAATGACGCTAACACAGTTAGCTATAGGATATTCTACGAGTACATTACCTATCAGTCGGAACCATTTAACCAGTTAACAATAAAAACATCAATTAAGTGTATTTAAAGCCCTGTGTCTACAGTCATGATAAGCAGCCCAATGCCTTGATTACTGAGACAAATGCCCCGAGTTTAATGCAGAGTAGTAGTATTACATATTTATGATTGTTACTTGTTGTGTATGCCTAATAATAAATAAATAAATAAACAGAATAGGCAACCACATCGCCGCGTCGATTAAAGATATCAAACTAATAATAAATGATAACATTTCACATACTCGTAACATTTAATAATAATTCTTCAAGTCTACTATATCTAGAACTCTATTGAGTTACTTATTATTTTATTATTAATAGTGCTATTTGCATAATTAATTAATCAGAGGCCACTAGTCGGTACTCGGATCGGATTCAGCATTACTTCGGCTCGTCAAAGAAAGGTAAACTAAGTATGAGATAATATGAATTCGAGGCATGAAATATTCACTATGATATTTCTTTCTTTCTTTCCTTCCTTCTTTCGTATTGTATGGATTGTAACACTGAATTTGCTGTTGTAGGTACGCCATAGAATTTTCCTACACACTAATTTATATTATTCTAAATGCGATAAAATACATCTATCACGTTCTAGTTCTTAGGCTTCTTAACTGCTGAAAGAATACTGAATAACTGATGTATTTTATAGGACATTAGTCGCAAAAATATATTACAGGAGGTGACGGGGTCAGGGTAGAGTCATGAGGAGCCTAACATTTTCACGGGACATGAAAATGCATTATGAATGATTTTGGCATATCGTAAGTAGGTAATAATTGATTAAAAAGCGGAATCATTTTAATCATAATTTAACTAAAAGTTATTGAAACCTATTTCTAGGTAAAGTATGGAGATAACCTAGATGGAGGATATTTAGTTACCTATTTCAAACAGTTGCAATTGCTTGGGCCGAGTTAGTTACATATTGCATGAATACATAGATAATTTTAAAACCATAAGTGATCACTTTCTTGCCATTATATGACCATTCGGTTAAGTAGTTACTAACCAAGACCAAAACCAAGGGTATTTTTAGGGGACAATGCACATGCATTGTAAACATGTATTACATAATACAGGGCGCAAACTATTACCTACTTATGTCCGAGTCAATATTGATCGCAATAGAATGAACTCCATTATAATAATAATGTAATACCCTTCATGTTATACAGTTTACAGTACATCCGACTTTATACACATTGGTTAAAAAATCAATCCTACTAAAAATGCATAAGATGCCTACCCCCTTACTAATAAAACTTACACGCGCGTTGTGCGTGTACAACTACTTTAAAGTGACGTTTAGTATGGAAATGTTATTTTAATATCGTTCAATATGAGTGTAACTTTTTATTAGTAAGGGGCAAGTGTTTACTGTGATGTAGAGTCAACAATGTACCTGATATAATATTACCGTAAACCTCAATATGCTTAATACGATCTGTAACAAGTTTTTGGCTACATATCGGCAAATGAGATATTATCTAAGTCATAAAACGCGGAAACATACCTAAATGATCCATTTTACATAATCTTTCCTAAAACGTCGATTGATTCACTTATTTATTCAGATACGTGATCTAGTTTTTGCAGATTCACCTTGAAATTGAATGTAAAAATTTAATGTTTTTTTGTTAATAGTCACATTTTGCTACACTATTTTAGATATTAAGTCAATGACGTTTGGGTTATTAATTTCAAAATATTGCACCCACTTAGATTTGGATTAGGTCCGGTTTCCTAGAAACGTATATAATCTGAAATGAAGATGCGCATATCATCACTTGGTCTTCAACCGTCTACCAAAATGTTCAAGCTGGTAAGTCACCCTTATACTATATTTTATAACTCTTCGGTGAATATTAAATTAAATGCTTAATTTTTTAAATATTTTTCTTATCTGAGCACGAGCATAATGTCACACTTTATGAGCTTCTGACGTGATATAATTAGTGCAACATAGATTTTATTGGGACGAGTTAGTTGAATCAAATCTGTAATTACTTTCCCAAACTGTGAAGATAGTTCCTTTCGCTCCATATCGAAGAGCAAAGAAATTCAAAAAGCACTTTGGTTGGAAGGGTCTAAATCTTTAAATGATAGATCCACCGCTGTTGTGTAAACAAACCGTACAGTAAAACCGTATCATTTGTTTCAGCTCCTTGTTGCCTGCGTCTTCGGCCTCGCGGCTGCCAAGCCTAGCCTCTACGAGCCTGTCGTAGCTTACTCGGCTCCGGCGGTGGCTTCAGTGAGCTACCCATCATCGTACAGCTACTCCTCTCCCGTGGTCTACTCGTCCCCAGCTGTCTCCTACAGCGCCCCCGTAGCGTACTCTGCTCCAGTCTACTCCGCCTCAGTCGCCGCCCCAGTCGCCGCTGCGCCCGTCGCCTACTCCGCATCCGTCGCCGCCCCCGTCTCCTACTCCGCATCCGTCGCCGCGCCCGTCGCCTACTCTGCCTCCGTCGCCGCCGCGCCCGTTGCCTACCATGCGTCCGTTGCCGCCCCTGTCGCCGTCTCTGCCCCAGCTTACTACAGCTCAAGCTACCCCCACGCGGCCTCTTCTTTCTTTTTAAAGAAGAAGTGAACACCAAATAGTCGATTTGAAGAAGAGAATTCTTATGTCATGTAACAATTCTATGAAATCATAGTGATAACACCTTATGAGAATCTCTGAAATAAACGAAGTGAACAAATACGACCGTTTTTTATTGATCTCTGACAAGATTTGCCTCTCATTTCTATTACTTACTACACTTATTGCTACTAGCTGTTATACCATTAGTTAATTTGTCTCAAAACCTCAATGGAGTCTCTCCCCAAAAATGTGCTCCTAAGTCCTGGCTGAAAGTTAAGTTCTTCAACGAAATAATTCATAAAACAATAGGAGATATTCAGAGCTTATCATACGGTAAATAATTAAATTACAAGAACCTTTAAAAAACATATCAATTTATGTCCATAAATTGAACTTATATTTAGACCATTAAACATTACAGAATTGTCTCACACAGTCAAATATTTATATTTATTTACCTCCGAAAGACATTTTAGGTAACTTCCACTTGGAAACAGTTTAATTTTGTTTCTTGCCAAGTGAAGGCCATAAAATCGCTGTAAATCAATATTGGTTCCGTACAAGAACTAATATCTTTAAGTGTTAAATAAATTAATTACAATAAAGTTACATAAAATAGCCATTGCCATTCCTTGAAAATGATTTTTTAAGATGGTTCTTTCTGTGTAGATTATGATTTTTTATGTAATTGCTCTAACACCACTAATTTCAAAGGATGTGTCTTATCTCAGAAAGATCTCTAATACACTAACAATTTCGGCACACATAGGTATGTTCTACTGTGATTATACATTCTTTTGTTTTCGCCATAGCTATTCAACGAAACCTTGGCGATGCCACACAAAGAATCAATTCTTTTTCACACATACTGATTTGTATTTTCATTTAAAGTGGGACAAATATAAAAGGAAACACATTTTTATGTTAGTCAGTGCATTTAGAAAAGTCAAATCTAACAGGCGGCGGTACCAAAGAATAACATTATACAAAATGTCAAAAATTGCATTGGTAAGCACTTCTTTAAATACTTTCTATTAGAGTGAAGCGATTCGTTCAAAATTGGTCAAAAAATGTTATGACAGTGTGAGCATACGTTTTTATGGAATATATTATAGAATCGTAGAGTTACATTTTATCGGTACCATAGTAATTAAGTGACTAATGCAAATGATATTACCGCAAAAAATGTTTGGCATCCGCATTTGTCGTCAATAAAGCGTCGTGTGATATATTTATAGCTATTTTTACACATTTTTTTAAACATCCGCAAAGCTGTATTTTGTTATCACAACTGCTAGAATAGCAGTCTTAGTAAAAAATTGATAATTACTGTTTGTATATTTATTTTATCACCTTGATGAGACTCTATCATCGCTTAAATGACATATTAACGAGAACAGCACATAGAAAGCATGCTGTTTTATTCCCTGCTATTACAAATGTAATAATTTTGGTTCACAGGCAACAATCATGGCGTTGCTGGCCACAACAGCAGCCGAGCCTTTCGTCTTCAGCGCACCCTTAGTTGCGTCACCCTACACCTCCGCCGCATACGAGTACCTCAGCCCCGCCGCCTCTGTAGTGGCAGCCCCAGTAGCCCCTGTGGCCCCCGTGGCCCCCGTGGCCCCCNTTTTATTATATACCATGGACATTAGCAATAACAAAAGAAAACTGTGTGTAAAATGGGATTGAAAAAAACTGGTCCAAATTAGCGGACTCTCCCTTATAGTCCAATGCCTACTCTACAATGACGCTAACACAGTTAGATATAGGATATCCAACGAATACATTACCTATCAGTCGGAACCATTTAGTATATAAAGTTAACAATAAAAACATCAATTAAGTGTATTTAAAGCCCTGTGTCTACGGTCATGATAAGCAGCCCAATGCCTTGATTACTGAGACAAAGGGGATGTTGCCTGGGTCAAAAAGCAAGAGTTTTAATTAGTCCGTCAGTTAACTTATCAAAAAATACTCTACACGTATTTTTCACTTTTTCAAACTAATGAAAATTTAAAGAGATAAAGCGCCCCAAAGTTCATAAGAAGAGGCCCGTGACGTCAACGCTTGCTTAAAAATGCCGCACGTTGTGACGTCGTGCGCAACTTCAACGCACCATAACTATGTAATTATTTGTTAGATTGACAAATAAAAATATATGTGTCCAATATTTTTTGATATTAAACATTACGGACTAAAAAAATTTTTTTAGGCAACTAGCCTATTGCCCCGAGTTTAATGCAGAGTATTATTTATGATTGTTACTTGTTGTGTATGCCTAATAATAAATAAATAAATAAACACAATAGGCAACCACATCGCCGCGTCGATTAAAGATATCAAACTAATAATAAATGATAACATTTCACATACTCGTAACATTTAATAATAATTCTTCAAGTCTACTATATCTATACTCTATTGAGTTTCTTATTATTTAATTATTAATAGTGCTATTTGCATAATTAATTACTCAAAGGCCAGTAGTGGGTACTCGGATCAAATTCAGCATTACTTCGGATCGTCAAAGAAAGGTAAAGTAAGGCTAGGTTTAGGCTTCTTAACTGCTGAAAGAATACTGAATAATTATACTGATCTATTTTTATAGGACATTAGTCGCAAAAATACACTAGTCATCACAAAAATCGGCCCACCTTCGTTTTACAGGAAAAGTCGTTTCTACTGACACAATCATGGTGCCCCAACAATATTGGTGTTATGAAAGCCCAATAAATATCCATAAAGAAAAACACATTTCATTTCTTAATAAAATAAATGTGACTTGAAAAAAGACCTCACTTTGGGCTCACCTCTGGGATCAATTAGACCAATTTTTATGGTTATAAAACCAAATAATGATCTCACGTGTCCTCTTTAACAGATGGATAGCGATTAATCCCAACTTAACAGTATTATAACCATAAAAGTTGGCTCAAGCGTAACTACCTATTTTTTAAAGAAGTAAGTCTGGATCCTTCTAAAGACACATTTTTGGGGTAAAAACCTTTCCGTTAATGAAATGAACTTTAGAACTAGGCTTTCAAATGGTGCCAACATTTGTGAGAAGTGGGAATGCATACGTTTGAAAGTGCTTGTCGTGAGAGGGTCGATTTATTTGATGTCGAGTGTATATTGCAGGAGGTGACTGGGTCAGGGTAGAGTCATGAGGAGTCTAACATTTTCACGGGACATTAAAATGCATTATGAATGATTTTGGCACATCGTAAGTAGGTAATAATTTATTAAAAAGCGGAATCATTTTAACCATAATTTAACTAAAAGTTATTTAAACCTATTTCTAGGTAAAGTATGGAGATAACCTAGAAGGAGGATATTTACTAAATATCTAAATATTATTTAGTTACCTATTTCAAATAGTTGCAATTGCTTGAGCCAAGTTAGTTACATATTGCATGAATTCTCGTAGATAATTTTAAAACCATAAGTGATCACTTCCTTGCCATTATATGACCATTCGGTTAAGTAGTTACTAACCAAGACCAAAACCAAGGGTATTTTTAGGGGACAATGCACATGCATTGTGAACATGTTACATAATAGAGTGTTACATAATAGAGGGCGCAAGCTATTACCTACTTATGTCCGAGTCAATATAGATCGCAATAGAATGAACTCCATTATAATAATAATGTAATACCCTTCCTTCATGTTATACAGTTTACAGCACATCCGACTTTATATACATTGGTTAAAAAATAAATCCTACTAAAAATAAGATATTTGATCTAATATGCATAAGATGCCTACCCCTTACTAATAAAACTTACACGCGCGTTGTGCGTGTACAACTATATGTATAGTTTAAAGTGACGTTTAGTATGGAAATGACATTTTAATATCGTTCAATATGAGTGTAACTTTTTATTAGTAAGGGGCAAGTGTTTACCTTGATGTAGAGTCAACAATGTACCTAATAACCTCAATAAGCTTAATACTAGTTGTAACAAGTTTTCCGCTACATATTGGCAAATGAGATTATTATCTAAGTCATAAAACGCGGAAACATACCTAAATGATCCATTTTACATAATCTTTCCTAAAACGTCGATAGATACACTTATTTATTCAGATACGTGATCTAGTTTTTGCAGATTCACCTTGAAATTGAATGTAAAAATTTAATGTTTTTTGTTAATAGTCACATTTTGCTACACTATTTTAGATATTAAGTCAATGACGTTTGGGTTATTAATTTCAAAATATTGCACCCACTTAGATTTGGATTAGGTCCGGTTTCCTAGACACGTATAAAATCTGAAATGAAGATGAGCACATCATCACTTGGTCTTCAACCGTCTACCAAAATGTTCAAGCTGGTAAGTCACGCTTATACTATATTACACTCTTCGATTAAATTAAATGTTTAATTTGTTAAATATTTTTCTTAACTGAGCACGAGCATAATGTCTAACTTTACTTTATGAGCTTCTGACGTGATATAATTAGTGCAACATAGATTAAGGGCTACCTTTTCTTTTTTCTTTTTTACTACATTTTGACGTTCATAAGTGCCACATGTGGTCTAAACTGAATAAATATTTTTGAATTGAATCAAATCTGTAATCTCAAACTGTGAAGATAGTTCCTTTCCCTCCATATCAAAGAGCAAAGAGATTCAAAAAGCACTTTGGTTGGAAGTGTCTCCACCGCTGTAGTCTAAACAAACCGCACAGCTAAACCGTATCATTTGTTTCAGCTCCTTGTTGCCTGCGTCTTCGGCCTCGCGGCTGCCAAGCCTAGCCTGTATGAGCCTGTCGTAGCTTACTCGGCTCCGGCGGTGGCTTCAGTGAGCTACCCATCATCGTACAGCTACTCCTCTCCCGTGGTCTACTCGTCCCCAGCTGTCTCCTACAGCGCCCCCGTAGCGTACTCTGCTCCAGTCTACTCCGCCTCAGTCGCCGCCCCAGTAGCCGCCGCGCCCGTCGCCTACTCCGCATCCGTCGCCGCCCCCGTCTCCTACTCCGCATCCGTCGCCGCGCCCGTCGCCTACTCTGCCTCCGTCGCCGCCGCGCCCGTTGCCTACCACGCGTCTGTTGCCGCCCCCGTCGCCGTCTCTGCCCCAGCTTATTACAGCTCAAGCTACCCCCACGCAGCCTCTTCTTTCTTTTTAAAGAAGAAGTGAACACCAAATAGTCGATTTGAAGAAGAGAATTCTTATGTCATGTAACAATTCTATGAAATCTTTACAACCATGATAACACCTTATAAGAATCTCTGAAATAAACGAAGTGAACAAATACGACCGTTTTTTATTGAACTTTGATGATAAGATTTGACTAAGTACTATTGACTAGCTAAAGACCTACCATTAAGTTTAATTAGTCTTTAAACCTCAACAATGAAAGTTTGTCTCCCGGGATTGGGTACAACTAAGTCCTGGTTCAAAGTTAAGTTCCTTGACCAACTAATTCATGAAAAAATAGGAGATATTCAGATCTTACCGTAAAATTAATTATATAGATATAGAAGTTATCTTTATTTACAATAAACAGATTTTTTTTTAAACTAAGGCAATTAAACATTAAATATTACAGAATTGTCTCACACAGTCAAATATTTATACCGAATATTTATCTCCGAAAGACATTTAGGTACTTCCACTTGGAAACAGTTTAATTTTGTTTCTTGCCAAGTGAAGGCCATAAAATCGCTGTAAGTCGATATTGGTTCCGTACATGAACGAAAATATTTTTAGAAGTGTTAAATAAATATAAGTTAAAATAAAGTTACATTATATTCCTTCAAAATGATTTTTTAAAGTAGGCTCTTTCTATTTATTATTTATTTTATTTTATTTTATTTTATTGTATAATAGGTTATTTTTTTAAGTAATAGTTTAACACCACTCATTTAAAAGGATGTATCCTGCCTCTCAGAATGATCTCTAATTACACTAACAATTTCGGCACACATAGGTATGTTCTACTGTGATTATACATTCTTTTGTTTTCGCCATAGCTATTCAACGAAACCTTGGCGATGCCACACAAAGAATCAATTCTTTTTCACACATACTGATTTGTATTTTCATTTAAAGTGGGACAAATATAAAAGGAAACACATTTTTACGTCAGTCAGTGCATTTTGAAGAGTCAAATCTAACAGGCGGCGGTACCAAAGAATAACATTATACAAAATGTCAAAAATTGCATTGGTAAGCACTTCTTTAAATACTATCTATTAGAGTGAAGCGATTCGTTCAAAATTGGTCAAAAAATGTTATGACAGTGTGAGCATACGTTTTACGATACGATACGAATTACAACAACAATTACATTTTATCGGTACCATAGTAATTAAGTGACTAATGCAAATGATATTACCGCAAAAAATGTTTGGCATCTGCATTTGTCGTCAATAAAGCGTCGTGTAATATATTTATAGCTATTTTTACACATTTTTTTAAACATCCGCAAATCTGTATTTTGTTATCACAACTGCTAGAATAGCAGTCTTACTAAAAAAATTATAATTACTGTATATTTATTTTATCACCTTGATGAGACTCTATCAACGCTTAAATGACATATTAACGAGAACATCACATAGAAACCACTGCTATTTTATTCCCTGCTATTACAAATGTAATAATTTTGGTTAACAGGCAACAATCATGGCGTTGCTGGCCACAACAGCAGCCGAGCCTTTCGTCTTCAGCGCACCCTTAGTTGCGTCACCCTACACCTCCGCCGCATACGAGTACCTCAGCCCCGCCGCCTCTGTAGTGGCAGCCCCAGTAGCCCCTGTGGCCCCCGTGGCCCCCGTGGCCCCCGTGGCCCCCGCCGTGCCAGCCGCCTACCCCGCCACTGTCCCGTACTCGACAGTGTCAGCCTACTCTTACGGGTCAAGCTACAGCGTCCAAGACTACTTCCCAACGGTGGTCAACCCTAGTCCCTCCCTGGCGTACAGTCTGCCGTATGCATACGCCGCCGATTACTACTACCGTCGATGAGTTGTACATTTTTTACTGTGACAATGTGATATTTTAATTCATAAATAAATGTATTGAAAGTTTTAAGTTACGTTTTATTGTTTTAATAGCTGTGGTAGAACTTCAATATTGAAATCAAATAAGCTTGACTGTATCTTTGAGTGTAGAGTGTGACTCGACTCGACTCTCAATTGTTAATTTAATAGGAATCGTTTGACGCAACTACACTCGCGAGCAANAACTAAAAAACAAATTGTATTTTCAGATGTGTTTTTAAATAAGTGATTACAGTTGATATAAACGTTGAGGCTATCTTACAAATGGATGTGCTTTAATATTACTTAAATATTAATGATTGCTAATTATTTATGTTAATAAGCATAGGTGTTTTTATAATATTTTAGTATCACTTAAAATAAAATAGATCTTGGTCTGCATAATATAAAAACGAGTATATTTCTTTCACTTAATATGCTATAAACATTATCAACAACGAAGTAATATAGATTCATCTGGAGATGTTTATACCACGAACAGGAAGGCGCTGGATGCAGGCCGCTACCAACCTGTAATTATGAAAATCATTGGGGGAGACTTATGTTCAGCATTGGACATCCTATCGCCGAAATGATGATGATGATGACGTGATTAAAATAAACTATCGTACACTTACTCCACTAAGGCTGAGTTATTTTTTTATTTCCGGCTGACATTGCCGGAGTTCGGTTTTTGAAGACAAACATTTTTTTGTGACAAATATTGTCTACATGACAGGCTTAGCCTAGCGTTGAAATCTCAGTTACTTTATGAACTGAAGCCCATGTCGGTACAACCTTAGCATTAAACGGGTCTTGTTAAATAAACTTTTATTATTTATTTATTTTATTATATATTTTTTGCACCACCATATTTTAAGCATAACAATAACTAGTGCTTTTTGTATGGAGTTTGACAGATTTTTGTTAAAGTAAGATGGGTGCAATTATGTAGTAAAAATAAGTTTGCATTTAACAAGTGTCATTTTTGTAAGTTTTTCTTGTGAATGCTACAATGTAATCAAAAGGAAAATTGGTGATCAAATAAAAAAGAAGTAATTGTGGTCCAAAATAAAAGTATTTAAGTTGTATCAACTCTACACAATTCCCAAAGCGTCTGGAAGCGCAACTGGTTCAGTAAGCTAGTTCTTCAGCGTGCGTGGAGATAACTCCTCTGGCTCAAGGTCGCCGCGTGATCGGTGTTATGCACTCCTGCGCATACGTTAACTATTTATTGATTTACTAGCGGCTGCCCGCGACTTCGTACGCGTGGACCTCGTTTTATTACTAATTATGTTGATAGATGGCGTTTCACGGCTTCCCCCGCATGAATATTTACGAAAGTCAAAAATTTTTGTCCAGCTCTGTAGATTTTTACCAATGGCGATAGATGGCGCTTTTTACGTCTTATTTATTTGTTGAAATTCAGTTTGTCACATATCGTCGTAAATTATAGCCTATATGTTAATCTGTGTTATAAACAATAATAATGTAAAGTTTCAACAAAATCCGTTCAGTAGTTTTTGCGTGAAAGAGTAACAAACATCCAGACATCATAATATTAGTAGGATAGGATGTCACTGTTACACTAGTAGGTAATAAATGATACAGTTTGTCTTCTTTTTTGCTGTTTAGTGTTTGTTTGATTTAGTCGTTTGGACTTCATTGTCTTTTAATTTGTTCTTGTAAGGCAAGAACCATCTAGTGCCTAACTCTTATTTTGGAAAAATATGGTATAAAAGTGCCTGCATAGACGTGTGATGGGTGTGCGGTGCATATAATTAAGTTATACCTTGCACACAATGTTGATGAATTTTATTATAATTACAAAGTAACTAACTTTTCACTTAAAAAAAAATTGTTATTCTCACCACTGGTTAACTCCTTATTGACTCCGTTCAATAGTTGAAAAAGTGTTAATTTAGAATTATTTACAAACTGGCTTTAGCGTAGGCCTACACTTACAAACATTAAACATGCAGTTTATTTTGGTCTGTCAGTTTCATTTCCAGAGTGGAAAATAACCAAGCACGTAAATTCTTAAGGCGTATATCTAAAAATACAATTTCCAAATGTCAACAATGCTGTTCCCTTTTTGCATTGGCTGTAATAATAAGGTCAATGGGGTCCGTTGCCGCTAACTGGGCGATACGAGTATATAAGCCCTGCGGCCCTCAGAAGGGCATCACTCACCCTTGTGAACCAACCCAGCACCATGTTCAAACTGGTAAGACATTCTTATTTTAGACTAGCTTTTTCCCATGGCTTGCAAATTTAGCTCGTCACAGATCGTTATAAATTATAGCTTATATTTTATTCTGATGTAGGTATAGACAATAATTTTTAGGGGTTTTTAAGACTATTTTTCGATTTGCAAAATATTAAAGTTTAAAGTGCAAAATTTTGTTCGAGTAGGGCGTCCCCCCTTCCCCCTCTAAAAACTAAACTGTTGGCTTAAAAAAATCTGGGAAAATTCATAATAAGTGCTTTTTATGAACTTTTAAGGAAAACTGTAATGGTTAAGATAGATTAATAGTTAGTTTAAGAGTAATAGTCGTTTATCTCATGTATTATAAAATTTCTTACCTAATAAAAATTCCTTAGAAAAAAATATTAAGTTACTTGCTTCTGAAATATATTGTGTTAGTGACGGAACCCTACAATGCGCGTGGCTCGACACGCACTTGGACATTGTTTATTAGTAAACAATTTGTTTCTATGGACACGTCATGCATAGACATGACAGTATCCTTAAGTGCACACGCACACTAAGTACTAAGTATAATGATGCTCATTGCTCGGATCAAACTCCCCGCACCCCGCGCTTCCCTCAACCAAAAAGTGGTGGGGCGCGTCTTTGTGAATGAAACGATCTATAGTAATGTTTTTTAAGTAACTATCACAGAATCATGTTTTATAAGGTATATTGTGGTATTGTGTTATTGACCTCGTGTAATTGTCGTAAGTTTTCGCCCGAGTTAATATTCTATTTATCTAAGATACAAACAGTTCAATGAAATGTAATCAATCAATACTCCCCTTTGAATCTGTACAAAATATGTTTCCTCAACAAATATTCTTATCATTGTATCTATTAGTATCTTTTCAAAAAACTTCGAGGTCAATACTCTGTATAGAATTGCTGACAGGAAAACGATATTGCCTATAGATTTTAGTGATATAATAAACGTAACTCACATGTAAAATTATGACTACATACTTCAATAGAAAAGTGCTATTGTATAAAATATTAGAAAAATTAAATATGAATGTAATTTCATTATTTGCTTCAAAACATGGAAGTGATAAACCATTGAAAAGGGTTTGATACAGTGAATGAGTGGACTTCCTAAGGCTCATAATAATATTATTGTCCCCAACCATTGGTATACGGTAAAACGTGCCATGTAAAATCTGTTATAAAAGCCTATTTTTTTGTTTTCTTTTTTCAGTTGTCTTTCTTCGCCATCCTGGCCCTCGCCTTTGCCGCTCCTGCGCCTGAGCCTGGATTAATTGCCCAGCCTATCGCGTACAGGGCCCCTCTGACGTACGCTCCAGGCGTCGAGTACTACGGCCCGGCGGGCCAGCTGACGTATGGGGCCCCACTGGCGTACTCTGGCTACCCAGCGTACGCGGCGTATCAGCCCGTCCAGTACAGCAAGATCTACTGAGCACTGAATTAAAATTGATTGGCAGCGTTCGTACATTTTTAATGTCACAATAAATTTCCGTTCCGCCTATAAGCCTGTTTTTATTGTACCTGAGTCAACATCATGTCTTAAGCTGAGTTGCACCATCTTAATTTAACTTCGACAAACGTCAAAAATCTGTCAAACTCCATACAAAAAACACAGGTTATCGTTATGGATACGGTTAAAGTTGGTGGTGCAACTCAGCCTTAGTAGACAAGATTGATTATGTTTAAGCTAAAACACTGATTTGGTCTCTTACATCTTAGTGAAATCATTTTTTTTACTTAAAGTGATTAACATTTGTTTAAACGGAGCTAGATACCATATATATATATGCTAGATACCGTAATATCCAGACTAAAGAAAAGGCCTTTCGTAAATTGATAGCGAACGAGGCAATTAAGTTATCTTGTTGTCTTCACCAGAAACCTGAAATGAATCTTTCTTCTTGTCATGTTGTTTACTTGTACATAATTGTCGCGTCGCATATTGACTTAACTACAAGGTCGTAGCAGTTTGTAAACAATTATTAAGCCGCCCACACTGCAATGACAAGATGGACTCGCAAAAAATGGATCAAACGCCTACAATGGAATTAGTTGTTCAATAAACAATAATGCATAATACCTATTGTCTGATAATTTCCCCACATAAGCATTATTATGTTTTAAACAGGTAGGTTCACAAGAAATCGTAACAAAATAGGTAAATATTCGAGTCACTGATATTAAATTTCAATATCTATTTACTCGTATAGATTACTCGTACATTGACATTTTTCACTTGTATCCAGAACAGGTGCCGAATAGGTTTTAGTGACAGTAAAAAACAGTGTTAGCAATTGATCTCGTCGGCTACAACATGCAGATAAGCGTTGCCCTTGATTCGACTTGAGAATGTCGCCTGTATTACATTGCGCCTGCTATAAATAATATTTCCGCAAACATTGTAATAACGTCTCAATTAAGCTTCAAACGAAAAATCATAGAAGCATTTAAAGTTATTTGGCTTAGCCGAGACTCATAGAAACGTTTTCTCTTTATTTTGTGTGTAGGTACAACGCTTTGGTCAATATGAGAGTAGAATTATTCTCTCGACTCAAGAAGTTCTGAATTCGATTCTTATGGTGAGACACACATACTTATGTGAACTGACAAATAGTTTTATGTCAAACTCATCAATAATCGGGGTATAATGGTAACAAGAGATTAGGGTACGTTAACGTACCTTGAACACAGGAAAATAATATACCTACAAGTTTTATGCAGAAATAACTATACAGTGTGAGTCACGTTAAAGTGTACATATGAAAATAGATGAAACTAGACCCATTTATATCGACAAAAAAGAGGTCAA